CCATTTTGTTGCTTTCCTGGTTGTTTTATAGATCATGTCTTCCTTTAACTCTCTCTTAAATGTCTTTTTTGTGATTAGGTAATTTTCCTCTAGAAGCCCCAAACACAGACTCCACCTTATGCAATTTTGATAGAACAATTTCCATCTTTTTGTGTTGCCTGTCCCTTAACAAGTTTTACAGTTAAAATCCTTTGAGTAGTTTTGTCTTTTAGTCTTCATATTAAGGCTATAAGTGGATTACATATAATATTTATTGTATCAGAGAATTCTGAATTTCTCTATATACTTACTTACCAGTCCATTTTACACTTTTAGATTTATTTATTTTTTTTTTATCATGTTAGCATCCTTTCCTTTCAGTTTGGAGAACCCCCTTTAGCATTTCCTGCAGAAGAAATCTTCTCATCATGAATTCTCTCAGATTCTGTTTGTCTAGAAAAGTCCTTCTCTCCCCTTCAATTCTACAGAATACCTTCAATGGGTATAATAGTCTTGGTTAAGAGGTTATTTTCCCCTTCCGCACACTGCTCATTCCTTCCTGACTTACAAAGTTTCCTCTGGGAAGTCTCATCCTGGGTATATTGAGTGAATTTTATGTTATTTGCTTCTTTTGCTGCTTTCTGAATCCTCTACTGCCCTTGACCTTTTACATATTTCATTACAATATGTCATGGGGCAGTGATATTTGGGTTGAATCTTGTGACATCTGACCTTCCTCTACCTGAATATTTTTCTTTCTCCAGGCTTAGAAAGTTTTCTGTTGTTACTTCCTTGAACAAACTTTCTACCCTTTTTTATTTTCAAGTCTCTGTTGAATGCCAGTGATCCTTAGATTTACTTTCTTGAAGTTGTTGAATGAATCTTGTTTGTTCATTTCTCTTCATCTTTTTTCCTTTTTTCTCCTCTGTGTATTTTCAGCTAGACTGTCTTCAAGTTCACTGATTCTTTCTTCTGCTTGATAATTCTGCTATTGAGGTTCTCCACTGTATTTTTCAGTTCATTCACTATAGTTTTCACACTCTAGGAATTTTTTGTTGTTGTTGTTAAATTCCTCTGGTAAATTTCTGAATTGTTTTCCTATCCTCTCTCAGAGTTTGCTGAATTTCCCCAAAATAGCCTGAATTCTTGTTCTGAAAAATCTCCCATCTCCATGCTGGTAAGCATTCTATTACGCGATCATGTTTTTTCTCTCACCTGGCACAAATTAGCATAAGCTATATGAAACCCTTTTCCATTGACTTATATCTAAAAATCAGATCACTTAACTTTTAGGAGAGACACAGGATTACATTTTTAGGAAACCTTCCTCAAATTGCCTATGGTCCTGTCCTGAATCTACAAGCAATGATCATCCCATCTCCTCATGAAAGTAAACCTTATAAAAGATGAAACTACATTTAAAATAAGTAATGAATTTTTAGACTGACATTAGCTATTTAGAGTTAAGATTACTAATTCTTGCATATTACCTGATCCCAGATTACTTATTTTGAGAAGACAAGTTTTTTTACAGTCATTCATTTAATAAACTAAGTGTCTATTGCTGAGTGCCTATTGTATAATAGGTAAAAGGGACATAAAAATGTACATATCACAGAGAAAAAGAGAGGACATAAGTTACTAATACCAGAAATAAAAGAGGGACTATGACTACAGATTCCCTGGACATTAAAAGGACCACAAAAAGAAATATTATGAAAGCTCACCCACAAATTGGAAAACCTAGAGAAAATGAGACAATTCCTTGAAATATAAAAACAATCTGAATAGACTTATGTCTATTAAAAAGAGACTGAACTGATAACTAATAAAACTTCCAAAACAGAAAACACTAGGCCCAGATAGTTTCACAGATGATTTCAACCAGACATTCAAGTAGTTACACCTGTTCTCTACAATCTCTTCCAGAAGATAAGAGCAGAAAGCCTATATCTTAACTCATTGTACAAGAACAGCATTACTTAACACTAAAACCAGGCAAAGATATTACAAGAAAACTTCAGACCAATATCTGTTATGAACATAGATTTTTTTTAAAAAATCAACAAATCAAACCCAAGAATATAAAAGAAGAATTATACACTATAACCAAGTAGGTTCTATCCTAAGTATGTGAGGCTGATTTCAAAAGTTAATTAATATTTAACTCATAACATCAACAGACTAAAGAGGAAAATTACATAATCACATCAATAGCTGCAGAAAAAGCATGTTAGAAAACCCAATGCCTGTGATAAAAACTTTCAGTTAACTAGGAAGAAACAGGAATTTCCTCAACTTAAAAAGAATATCTACAAAAAAATCTACAACTGGCATTAAACTTAATGGTGAGAAACCAGAAGCTTTCCCACAAAGATCAAGAAAACGGCAAAATGTCCCTTCTCACCAATGCTTTTCAACATTACACTGGAAGTCCTAGCTAGTATAATACAGATAAAAAAGAAAGAGAAAGAAAGAAAGGAAGGAAGGAAAGAAGGAAGGGAGGGAGAGAGGGAGGGAGAGGGAGGGAGAGAGAGAGAGAAAGGAAGGAAGGAAGGAAGATTAAAAAAAAGGAGAAAGATAATAAAAGGTATACTGAGAAGGAAAAAAAAACTGTCTTTGTTTTAGAATGATCATTTATGCAAAAAATCCAAATGAATCAACAAAAAGAATAGCAACAAAAACCCTGAAATTAACTAGCTATTAGAGCCAGGTTGTAAGATACAGGTTAATACACAAAAGTCAATTGCTTTCCTATATGCAGCAATGAAAAAGAATTTGAAATTAAAACATGATGCCACTTACAATTAGCACCCCCAAAAAATGAACGCTTAAGTGTAAATCTAACAAAGTATAAACAAGATCCTTATAAGAAAAGTGACAAAACTCTGATGAAATAAATCAAAGAGAAAATAAATAAATGGAGAGCATTCTGTGTTTCCAGATAAGATGATTTAAACACTGTCAGTATGTCTCTTTTTCCTGACTTGATCTTTGGAACCAGCGCAATCCAATTCAAAATTCCAGCAAGCTATTTTATGGGTATTGACAAATTGATTCTAAACTTTATATGGAGAGGCAAAGACCCAGAATGGCCATACAATACTGGAGAACAAAGCTAGAGAACTGACACTTCTGACTTCAAGACTTCCTATAAAGCTACAGTAATCAATATAATATCCTACTGGCAAAGCAAGAAACAGGAATAATATATCAGTGAGGCAGAATAGAGATTAGACATTACAAAAATAGTTAACTGATTTTAACAAAGAAGCAAATGCAATATAATGGAGAAAACATGCCGGACCCTTTCAATGATAATGGACCAACTAAACATTCTCAAACAGGAAAAAAAAAATCTAGACAGATGTTACACCCTTCACAAAAATTAACTCAAAATGGATCACAAACCTAAATGTAAAATGCAAAACTATAAAACTCCCAGAATATAACATAGGAGAAAGTCTATATAATCTTGGTTTGGTAATGAGTTTTTAGATACAACACCAAGGCATGATACATGAAAGAAACAATTAATAAGCTGGGTTTAAGTAAAATTAAACATTTCTGCTCTACAAAAGACTATAAAAAAGACAATCAGATTGAGAGAAAATATGGACAAAGACACATCTGACACCCAAAATGTACAAAGAGCTCAAACTTAATAATAAGAAATGGTTAAAATGGGCCAACGACCATAATAGGCAATCACCAAAGATATAGAGATCATACATAAGCACACAAAAAGATGATTGACATATTATGTCATAAGGGAAATGGAAAATAAAATGAGACATCACATACACTTATTAGAATAGCCAAAATTCAAACAACTGATATCACCAAATGCTAACAAGGCAAGTAATAAAAACTTTAGTTCATTGTTGTTGGGAATGCAAGATGGCATAGCCACTTTGGAATAGAGTTTGGCAGTTTGTCACAAAACTAAACATACTTTTACCATACAATCCAGCAGTTTTGTTTTTTACTATTACTCAAGGATTGAAAACATATGTTCAAATAAAAATCTACACACAGATTTTTATAGCAACTTTATTCAAAACTGATAAAACTTGGAAACAAACAAAATGTTCTTCAGTAGGTGAGGTGAGTGGATTAAAAAGCTGTGGTACATCCAGACAATGGATTTTTTTAGCACCAAAAAATAAATGAGCAATCAAACCATGAAAAGACATGGAAGAAACTAAAATGCATACTATTATGTGAAAGAAATGATCTGAAAAAACTATACATACTTTTGACTCCAACTATATGACATTGTGGAAAACGCAAAACTATGGAGACAGTAAAAAGATCAGTGACTGTGGGAGATGGAGCACAGGAAATTTTTAGGGCAGTGATTTTTAGGATTTCTTAATCCTAAAAAAAACTCTTTAAATCTCATTATGCAAACACATAAACAAATTAACTATCATGCAATCATTAATCCTGACCCATTTTCTTTTCATTTACAACAGTGGGCAGAGTACATTTAAACTTCTTTTTTCTTTAGTACACAAAAGATAGAGCTTCAAGTTTCAGAACTTTTTTCCTGCTATACAGTGTAGCCAACAAGAGGCATAAATCAATGGCTTTAAACTCCATTTCTAATCTAGCTTTGTGCTTTAGGATACGCAATGAAGAGATAGCTAGAACACTCAGATTCTTTGGTTAATAAGTTTCTAACTGATTTACTTGTATTTTACATATTGAAGTGTCCATAAAGAAAGGGCAACTTTAAATGCTGTGGCCAGCCTAGGATGAGAGAAGGGATACAGACAAACATCCTGAGAATCAGTCCACACTCTAATCTGTCTGAAGCCCACGAAGTTCTCTGATCATCATACTGAAGAGTTATTTTTATTTTTTAGGTTCTTTGGAGGCTGTTATTAGTAAACTATTGTTTTCATCCCACTCTAATTACTTCTGGGTTTGTTTGTTTTTCTTGCTGATGCCTACCAAATCACTTATCAGATAATTCAGCTATTTAAATTATGAAGAACATACAGACCAAAGAAAAGTATAGATCACTTAGTATTTATTATGTTTAACTGAACTTTTTTAAATTACAGAATTCAACTCCAAAATAAGGTAATAAATGGCTCTTAAATTGTTATTCACTTGGGTTTTTCCTAAAATTTTAACACAGCAAAACACCTTAAAGACATATGAATACGTTCTTTGTACTTCCAGTGGCTTACAATCATGAAACAAGAACATGTTTATCCATAAAAAAATTAGACAAACAGCTCAATATTTTAAAATATTAATGACATGAAATAAAAGTAAAGAAAAAATAAAAACAATATACTGCAGGTCTACCACAACTGTTTTGGTAAATGACAATAGAATCTTGTTTAAAATAATGCTCCTTTGCAGAGCATATGCTGTGCTTGGTATGCTTGGCACATTAGCACTTGGTAACTGCTCAGCCTCCCCCTGTAGTTTCTTAAGCAGGACCCTAATTCAGGGTCCACTTTCAAACCCTGAGCCTCTCATCTGCCTGAATTCCCAAGAACCCTTCTGATGGGAGTCTGACCCTTCTTCTTCCACAGCCTCTTAAGGCTTTCCTGTCTTTCCTTATTTTTCTCCAGGTTCAAACTAGATGCCATTTCTAATCTCAGCAACTCAAATAGCTGAGTATCCCTCCCACAACTCTTATCTCAGATGTTGTCCTTTCACTGACTAAATTATGGCTATAACATAAGAGACTGACTCTATCCACAAACATCATTTTCCTTATTTTATGATCACATCCCCTATAATGCAAAAAAGATTGATGATGCCTGATTTAGAACTTAAAAACATTCAATGAGTTTAGGTAGAATATATACTGATCTAAAGTCATTTAATATCTAATCTTTTCTATTATTGTTATTTGCTTTTAAAAATCATAAAAATATAAAAATTGTAAACATTCTACTAAACATTTCAGTAGAAACCCTGTTACTCTGCTTTTTATTTAGAGATTTCAAAAAGAACAAAAGTAATACCATGTTCTTTTTGGCAGACCCAAAATCCTGCTCCAACTCCTAGACCTACCACCATTATACATTTCCCAACACTAGACAGCTCTGTATGCTAAGCATGTCGCTTGACAACTGCTGCTGCTGCTCCTGAACACAACCTGCAACAGAGCAGCAGAAAACTGATTGTAATCTCTCCCTGAGAGCTGTTCACGTGCTCCCTAGCATCTTACCCTTATCACTCCATACCTGACCCAGCCTCAGGAACCATGCAAACATATATAAGTTAGGACACAAAAAACTGGAGCACCTCCTGCACAAAAGGCTGCATTACTTGAAAAGTGGTAGCATTTCCTTTCTATTTGTCAGAAAAACAAACAGGATCAGGTAAGGTATAGGGGATGCTGCTGACAGGCAGGAACAAAGAAGAGACTGATGAGGCTAACTACCAGTGTTCACCACAACCCCAGAGTCAGCACATTCCCCTCATTATGACAGTACTGAACAAATCTGATCTTCTATTCAAAAGGAAGAACTGATCATGCAGGAAATTCCAGTCACTTATTGCTCTTCTAGCAAGGTTTTACTGCATGTTTTTAAGAGTGAAATTAATAAGATGTTACTTCTAAATGAATAACTTAAACATTAATTTTTAAAAATACAGTTTTTGCTTTTGTTCTACACACAAATGACTAATGAAATCTATCGGCTTTGGGGAATCCCCTCAGCATCTTTACCAGATATGGTTGATGAGATCATCTAAAACCAGAATGCCCGACCTGGGTGATAAAAGTACCACTTCTCAGAGTATTAATGCAATGACTTAAAACTGTATTACCTGAATAGTCTCCACGGTGAAGTGTCAGAAAAAGTGAAACAATAAATATTTTCCACAGCACCATAAGGTTTTATAAAATACTACTTCAGTAAATGTACAATCTCAAGATTTTGGTCCATCATTCATACTAGTCACAACCTCTTTTACTGATAACAATTCTGACAGAGGCCATACAGGCACACTATAACATGAAAATGATTATATTTTACTGAAGAACCTATATGATATACTTCGCTGGTCACTGCTTCAGCTATATCCATTGAGTACTAGTGGACTCAAAGGCCAGGAAAGATGAGTTTCACCATTTATACTCTAATCACAAATTCTGATTTGCCAAAAGGACCTAAGTGGTAACTGACTAAGATATTTGTTATACCAAAAAGTCTTTATATTGTTTGCTTTCATATTGTGCTCTCTGGGTTTTGTTTCTATATGATAACACTTTGTAAATGGCTGAGTTTTAAAAATAAGAATACAATGATTCTCTTTAAATTTTAAAATAAGCACAAAAGGAAAACAGACTGATTTTATAGCCAAATAATCTGGAATTATGTTTAACAAGTTAATAATAGTAAAAAATATGAGACTGAATTTCCCCAATATCCAGCATGCTTGTGTATCTCCTACGTGTGCTATACCAACTGACATAAGCAAAACATAATTGAAAGTATCAATTTACCTACCAACAAACACACTGCATTGCAAAGCCAAATATTAATTAGGTTTGGGATTATCAATTTCATGTCTCCCCTCCATTAATGCAGAGAACCAAGTCTTATCTTTACTATAAATTAGCTAAAGCTAGAGTAACTTACTATAAAATTATTTGTAACAAAATAAATATTTTCAGTCCCTCTACACTAAATGATATATAAATCATTAGCATTTTATAATATTAGATTAGGTCACTTTTGGGGACACAAACATACTGTACAATCCTGAGTAAAAGGTTAGGGATACAGTTTCTTGGGGATCTTTCTTGACCAGAAATCAAAAAGAAAACACATAAACCACAACTTGTAATAATCCCCATTTGCATTAAAAGTACCATGAGTTCTTTTTACTTTGGTAAATAAGTTTATATATGTAAACCATTTATCTTGATAGAGTAAAATTAAGCAGAGCTTCTGCTAGGATCCCTCCATCACCTTTTGACACTGATATGATAAATAGTCCGGAAGAGCAGAGCAAGAGGATCTGAACCACAGAGCTATTACATTAGTATGAACTCGGCAATGCAGTAAGCAGGGAATGGATGGGAGCATCTGACAGGCCAATAGCCCTTCGTTGCCTAAAATAAAACAAAAATGAAAAATTTTTTTAATATAAAAGGACTTAAATGGACATTTCTCCCAAGAAGATACACAAATGAGCAATGAGACACAAAAAGATGCTCAACATCACTCATTACTAGGAAAATATAAATCAAATCTAAAATGAGATATTACTTCAGATCTAACGGTTGGCAATTATTTTTTTTAAAAAAAATAACAAGTGTTGATAAAGATGTAGGAAAACTGGAACCCCTATGTATTGCTAATGGAAATGTAAAATGGTACAGTTGCTATGAAAATGATGTGGCGATTCCTCAAAAAATTAAATATGGATAGCTGGTCCTATAATTTTTGTTACTCGAGAAGTTAAGGCAAGAGGATCACAAGTTTAAGGCCAGGCTGGGCAATTCAGCTAGACCCTGTTTCAAAATAAAAATTTAAAAAGGAAAAGAAAGTGGGAGGTATCCGTGGTAAAGCACTTGCCTAGCAAGTGCAAAGCCCCGGGTTTAATCCCTAGTACAGGAAGGCAGGCAGGCAGGCAAGCAGCAGTCAGGCATGCATATGGAATTCACATGTGATCCAGCAATACCACTCTTGCTATATAACCAAAAGAACTGAAAATAGGGACATGAACAGATATCTCTATATCTATGTTCACAGCAGCATTATTCATAAAAGTCAAAAAAGAAAATTTGAAATAATAAAAATGAGGTATATTCATGTAGTGGAATAGTATTCAAAACCAAGAAGGAAAGAAATTCTGACATATGCAACTATATGAATCAAGCCTGAAGACATTATGCTAAGTGAAATAAGCCAGATACAAAGGAAAAATATTATATGACTCTGTTAATCTAATATATCTAAAGTAGTCAAATTCATAAAGTCATAAAGCAGAATGGTAGTTGCCAGGGACTGAAGAAGGAAAGGGAAATGGGGAATTAATGTTTAATGAATACAGTTTCAGTTGGGGAACATTAAAAAGTTCTAGAGATGGATGTCAGATGGTTGCATAACAATGTGAATGTACTTAATGCCACTTAACTTATAAATTTAAAAATGGATAAAATAGTAAATTTTATGTTATGTGAATTTTTCAATAAAAAATCTTTAATGCGATCTAAAAAACACACTCATCTGAAAATGCTCATAATAGTAAATAAAACTCCAAGCAATCTGACACTTGAACGACTTGATTTGAGTTCTGATTATAAGAAAGCTCCTATAAACACAAGACTGCCTTTACATAATTCTACGAACCTATAATGTCAATAACATGAAGTCTCAGTTTCTGTTGCAGTGTTTTTAGGGCAGAAGGCAGAGCAGCTTGAGATTCTGATGTTTTTATATTTTGCTTCACATCATTTGCAAAGGATAACCAGAGTTTGCCAAAGTCTTCAGTTGAGATTTTTAATGGCCTGAAAATAATTTTTAAAATTAGATTTGTGTGCATAAGAATGAAATTCTTCTAAACACATTTTTAAAAACTCATGGAAATAAAATATAATCACTATAAATCTGGGTCCCACAAAATTTATGTTTTTAAACCAAATATAATTAGAATGCTTACAGTCATTCTCCAACCTAATGAAAACACTGAAAGCAGAAGATATTATTAAATTGCAAATGTCTTTTCAATAAACCACTTGATTTTCTCTTTTTCTGGATATTAGTCATTCCAGTAAAATTTTACCAAGTAATCTCATGAATCATTCAAATATAAAATAAAACCTTTCTTTCGAGTACTCTTTTGATTTGGGGTTGATGTGATATTCTAACAAAGCCAGGTAAAAGAGTAGGAATACAAAGATCTAGTGTTTTAACTAAATTAGACCAAGAAAAAGAATTTAAACAAATATGGTTTTAAAAATAGTTATGAGGGGCTGGAGTTGTGGCTCAGTGGTAGAGCGCTTGCCTAGCATGCATGAGGCACTAGGTTCTATCCCGGGCACCACAAAAAAAAATAAATAAAACAAATAAAATAAAGTTATTGTGTCCATCTACAACCAAAAAAATATTTTAAAAAATAGTTATGACACTAAAAATAATATAGTTAACAATGGGCTTCTCAGGGGGTGGGATTATTATTGGAAACTTTCACTTTCAACTTATATTTTTCCATGGCATTTGAATTTTTATAAGCATTGATTTTACATTTAAGGGGGAAAAAAGATACTTTTAAAGACACAGAGGATTTTATCAGTTCCTACCAAACAACTGTTTGTGTGACACATATTGTACTTCTTCTTACTAATGTTCATCATGAAAAATACTTTCACAGTCCCAGAATAGAAGATCTTCTAAGGCTAGATTTTTCCTTATACAACACCATGCACATAAACCCTCTTTGAAAGATTGATAAACACATTTTTTACTAAAAAATGTTAAGGAATGGACAAAAATTATAGCAGTGTAACATAACTGGATGCGTGGAGATTAAAAAATTGTATAAATATTCACAGGCATTCTGCATTCTTGGTTCAGGCAGCCTTCATTTTTGAAAACTTAAAAAACAGTATATTTATAAAACTAAATTAGAGAAGAAGAGCTAAGAAACTATTTTCAATTATTTTAATAAATCTATACACTGCCTAACATAACACAAATGCTATGTTAATAAACTTTAATAACTGTGTTGGGTAATTTTCTTACCAATCTCTAGAGCTTAACAAACTGACTTTATGAAAAACTGATTAAATGAATGAAATACAAATGAAATTTTAAAAGCTTAAAGAGTCATGCAGAATCTATGACATTATTCCAGTTTAGATATTACTTCCTTTCAGAAGTTTCTCAAGATCACCAACCAACCCCAACCTAAATCAGATGTCACAGTATAATCTCTCATTATGCCATTTATTTTCTCTTAACAGCACAAGTCATAATAACATATATTTATGTGATTGTTCAATGTCTCCTCCCTAGACTAAAAGCACTCTGAAGATAGGGGCTGTGTTCAGTTTTTAATTGTTCTATTGCCCAGCATTTAGTATAGTGCCTCCGTCTAGGGAAAAAAAAAAAAAGCCTAAAAAATATTTGCTGAAAGAATAACTAAATTAACATTCCAGAAAATACTTACCTAATGAAATCTAACAGTGATAAGTTTATGGAAAATTCCAGCTGAACAGAATGAGTATCGATCATTTGATAATTTATAAAGCCAGAAAGATTTCCTTCTGTAAAAGGCTTTTCCAACTGTACATTGTAATGAAAGTTTCTGGTGCTTTCTGCTTCCATTACAGGCAAACAACATCCAAGTTGTTCAGTGATCTTTAAATAAAAGTAATAAAAGTATTAAAATAAGGATCAATACCTCTATTATATGAACATCAATTTTCTATTTAATTGAAATGGTAAAAAAGATACTAATGTAAGAAGCTAACAAACTACATTATGAAGATGACTGACAACACACTAGAATAGTACTATACAGGCCAAGATTATGTTCACAAGCAGCATTACAGTTAAAACCCAGGTATAATTTTTTTAAAGAGTACTAAATTCTAGTCTGGTGGCTCTCAATCCTGGCTAGGACCAGATTCTTTTTTTTTTTTTTTTTTCCCAAGTATTGTGGATTGAACTCAGGGCCTCATGCATACCAGGCAAGCATTCTACCACTAAGCTATACTCCTAGCTGCTGGCACCAGATTTTTAAAGCTGGAAGAGTTCTTAAAATAACAATAATACAGATTTCTTGCATTCTCATTCTCTACACTTACTCAAGCTGGTAGGGTTCAGGCAACTGGAATAGGTTTTATCTTGGGTTTTATTTATTTATTTTTTTTTTATATTCCACTAGTGATTCAAATGTACATCTACAGTCAAGAACTTCTGCCCTGGTCAGTGGATCAGACCGTATCTCTTTCAACCCATTCTAACTCATAGAGGAAACTGGGTCAGTTTTGTGGAAGACAGATATACTGGTCAAACTTCACTGCAACTCTACCAAGGACATCTATATGCTAATGCAAGTACACATACTTCCAAAAATCACAATGGTAGTCTTTTGGAGCTGCAGAAGCAACAGAACAGTTGCCTGAACACTCAGTAAGAAGTAATACATAAGTGAGAGAAAAAAAGTAGATAGTAAACACTATATTCTTACTCTTTGATGTTTAGTTTTGTTTTATTAAATCTATGAATTTGATAAAAGTAAATGAAATTGTATAGTAGTTTTGATTTGCATTTCTCCAATTACTGGGAATTTTGAACATTTTTTCATATATTTGTTGATCGACTGTATATTTTCTTCTGAAAAGTGTCTGTTCAGAACCCTACTCTAAGATTTTATCTCATGCCAATCAGAATGACAGCTATCAAGAATACAAACAACAATAAAGTGTTGGCAAGGATGTAGGGGAAAAGGTACACTCAGACATTGCTGGTGCCACTGCATATTGGTGCAGCCAATCTGGAAAGCAGTATGGAGATTCCTTAGAAAACTTGGAATAGAACCACCATTTGACCCAGCTATTCCACTCTTCAGTCTTTACCCAAAGAACTTCAAATCAGCATACTACAGTGATGCATCCACACTGATGTTTATAGCTGCTCAATTCACAATATCTAAACTGTGGAATGAACCTAGATGCCCTTCAATAGATGAATGGATAAAGAAACTGTGTTGTATATACACAATGGAATATTACTCAGGATTAAAAGAGAATAAAATTATGGCATTTGCAGGTAAATTAATGGAGTTGGAGAATATGATGCTAAGTGAAACAAGTCCATCCCAAAAAAACAAAAGCCAATGTTCTTTCTGATAAGTGGATGCTGATCCATAATGGGGAGTGGGGGTGGTCGGAATGGAAAAAATAGAGGAATTTTGATTGGGCAAAGGGGAGGGAGGGGAGGGGAGGAGACATGGGGGGCAGGAAAGATGGTGAAATGAGATAGATATCATTACCCTAGGTACATGTATGACCACACATATGGTGCAACTCTACATATTATACAACCAGAGAAATAAAAAGTTGTGCTCCATTTGCGTACAATGAATCAAAATGCATTCTACTGTCATATATACCTAATTAGAATAAATAAATTAATTAATTTAAAAAATAGTGTTGATGGGGCTAGGGTTGTGACTCAGTAATAGGGCGCTTGCCTAGCATGTGTGAGGCACTGGGTTCAATTCTTAGCACCACATATAAGCAAAATAAATAAAGGTCCAACAATAACTAATAAAAATTTTTAAAGTGTTGAAAAAATTACAAAAAAAAAAGAGTAAATGAGATATTTAAAGAGTGCAGGAAGAAAGAACCACAAAATATATATTGAAAATAATTTTTTAAAAAAATTTTCATGTGCCATTTATTGCTGTATCACAGATATTAACTCGTTTAATCCTCACAATAACAGGCATATACTGTTAACAAAAGAAAGCTGAGGCACAAAACTGCTAAATGTCTTGACCATGTAACACAGATAATATTAAGCTTTAGAAGCAAGATCTAAGTCAAGCAGTATGAGTCAAAAGCCTACATTCTTTGCTGTGCTTTATCTAAACTCGCTTTGTTTCTATGGCCTTTCCCAATAAAATCATTATTATGCTTCCTTGTCTCTTTTGAATATTTTGTCCCTACTCAGAACAATAAAATAATTATCACATCTCTTACCTATTTTTATTAAAGAGGTAAGAAGGATGTGGAAGAAATTTACAAACCATCAGACAAGCCAACAGCAGAAACACTAAGTAAGCACTATCCATTTAAGGTAGAATGATAAAACATTCATTGTCTTACCTTGAAATTTTCTGCAGGAAAAATTTCTAAGTTAGCACTTTTCAATTCGGAACCACTCTTACTAGCAACTGACCAGACCATTAACAAACAATCATCCTTCCAAATCTTGTAAGAAGATACTGATACAGCTTCATTATTACAGACCTCCATAAGATTTGAATGCATGTACTCAGTAGTTTCTTCCAACAAAGAAGAAGCTAAAGAGATTCCCTTGGCAACTGAAGCTGCAGTAGATGGAGGAGGATGAAAAATTTCCATGTCGTTATCAGCAAACAAAGAAGGTGCAGACAGGCTGCAATCTGAGAGTTTCTCAACCAAGGGCAGTTCTGTGAGAGACTCAGAATCCAAAAGTTGTGAGCTGAAAGAAAATTTCTTGAATTCTTTGTCTTCTTTCCCTTGCAAAGTATTCAAGTAATTATTTTCACAGGTCACCTTTGATAAAGAACTAAGGGAAGAACAGGTCACACTATGAGCACTGGTTGTTTCTTCACTTTGGGCTTCCTTGCCTTTTGATTTCCTTCTGAACTTGTGAGACACTGTGTCTGCTTTTCCCAGCTACAAAAATAAAACATAATAATAATATAAAAAAACTATTTTACTAGTCATGAGTTTTAAAGATTCTTCTATAATTTCAGGTGAGTAATTTACTCACTTGCTAAAATTCTATCTAAAGCATAGATTAACAAAAAAAATCAGAGATGAATAAAATGTTAAGCCCTAAAATTGTGACAGCTACATAACTTTGAACTATTAGTTAAACCTTGTTTCTCATTAAAAACATAAAATTTGAAAAAGAAATAAGGTCAAAAAATCAGTCATGAACAATTCCTAAAAACTTGCTAGATTTCAGAATATTCAAAATAATTGGATAAATTAATAACTGTGAGAAACTCAGCACCCCCCCACACACACACACCTTTTTTCCCCAGAGTTGTCTTGCAGAAGCCTAAGTTACCCTCAATAAAAGGATGTTCCAAACCCTGATTTAGTAATCTATAATAATTGTGATTTCATAGCCAATGAGTTTATAAACAGGGAAGAAAAGCTGGTTTTACCTGAAGAATCAAATGGCAGAGGCTGACTGAAAAACTCAGCAGGAAAAAATTCTGTAACTGATTAGCAATGTTTGCCACAGACTGAGAAGACAGCAATGGCAAAGTGATCTAACCCTGAGGAATGGTCTAAAAATCTTTTTAAGGACAATCATGGTATAAGTGTATATTGGCCTCCAGAACCTAGAATCAGTCAGCAGACTAGCAGTGTTTTCAGTCCATGTCTCCATGCTCCTGGGGGCTTCAACACTGCATGTGAAGGTAGCTCTTCACATGATTCTAATTAACCAGAATTTTACTTCCCTTTTCATACTTTCTCTATCCCTCTCAAGCCCCAACACCTTCCAATTCTCAACAGATTGAGTTTATTTCATATCTCCCAATTGAGAAGTTGTCAAAAAAGAACATTCCATTAACACACACACAAAAAAAAAAAAGAGGGGAAAGGGAAGAAGAGAGGAAGTGGACAAATATTTTCCATTTTTGGTAGTTATGGGATTCAGATTAGATGTATATTAGACTACCTGACACTGTCCCTCAGGTCACTCTGTTCCTTTTTTTGTTTGTGTCTAATGCTTTCTTCTGCACTGTCAATCTGCTATTAATTTGAAGCTATAGAAGCCAGAGGGCATCATCATTACAATACATAAAAAGCATTGCACTGTATGTCCAGACAAAACGTCTTAAAAATAAAGGTGAAATAAAAAAGGTGAAGGCGAAAAAATAAACTTTGACGCTTACAATAACATAAAAAAAAAAACAACTTACAATAGACCACAGGCCTACAAATAAGAACTAATTAAAATAGAATACATGACAGTGGCTCAGGAGGCTGAGACAGGAAGGTGAGTTCAAGGTTAGCCTCAGCAAAAGTAAGGTGCTAAGCAACTCAGTGATACCCTGTCTCTAAATAAAATACAAACCAAGGCTGGGGATGTGGCTCATTGATCAAGTGCCCCTGCGTTCAATCCCTGGTACCAAAAAAAAAAAAAAAGGATGACATGAATATACCCTAGATTTATTTAACTAAGAGCTTTAAACATTAGAAAAAAATAAAAAGGATTGCTGGGGAAAAGCAGTCATCAATCAGGTATGATACAGTAAAAGCACATCCAGTTAGTCCCAATCCTGTTGGGGTTGAGAGGCAAAAGGATACATGCTAATTTTATATGGTATAGATTCTTTTCCTGCTTGCTCAGAACCAGCACCTGTCTTTTACTACAACTTTCATTCTTTTATTAAGAAAATAATGTCAGCAAAAGACATTGTAAAAATCATCATAATCCTAATATCTAATTATCATTATCAAAATATCATGTAGTTCCTTCTAGCCTCAATAATTTTATTTTCTTTACGTAAAGCTCTAAACAAGATATAAATAAAACTTTATACACTGCATTTTTTTGTTTAACATACCATAAGTATTTTCATTTCACAATGCAATTCTGATCATTTTAGTGGCTGAAAAATATTCTGAGAGAATATAATTTATGTAACCACTCTCCTACAGTTACACATCTATCTAAAATGATTCCTATTTTTCACTATTAAAATTCCACTTTGAGATGTACTTTTTGCACATATTCAGTATTGTTTTCTATTATTATTAACAATATTTCAATCAAGCCTCCTTCCTTTAGTAAACTGTCCTACTCACCCACAGGGGTGGTAATACCCATAGCCACATGTGTAGCTTTACTTGGACCCTGATTCTTGCCCTAGCTGACAGGACCAGAGAGAACACCTGGCTTAAGCTGACCAGATTTCCTCCTCAGGGACATAAAAGGTATGTTACTGGTCGCTATGGAGTTTAGGAGATGATGAAAGCCAGGGAGGCCACTTCTGGCCATGTATACAGATGAAAGCCAATAACTACGAGGAGCCAATAACAGGAAACACAAATTCTTTGAGGAGCATAACTGATTACTTACCAAATTGATTGTACCTTCTGATCCTAGCCCAACAAATAATGATGAAGCCAACAGCTGCTTTTCTTTCTCCTCTTTAGATTGTGTAAGCACTTGAGACTGATCCCTTTTTGTTATAACTTGATCAATATTCTCTATTGTTAAATTCTCTTGAGGAATAGGTGGAGCTTCCACTTCATCACCAATTTTGCTTTCCTTCTTAGGAAGATAGCCCTCTTTTCCCCACAATTTCTTTATACCTTCTAGCTTCAAGCCACTTGTTCTAGGGAAATACATAAGGAAAGCAAGTAAATTTAATAACTGTCAAATAGTTACTTTCTGGAGTCTTTTTTTTTTTCAATGCGTTTTATTGCCAATGGCCTTTTAAAAGCAGGTTTAGTATTATATTTTATATACCAGAAGAAAACCTAGATCATTAGATTTCATTTTAGTTATGGCCAGCCTCCCCACCCTCAAACCAAAGAATTTAATGTAACAGAACTCCAAACTTAGTTTTAAAAACCTCAGATCATTTAATTTTCATTTAATTGCTTGAATAAGTTGTACAAAAATAGAAGTACTATAAATCAGTTCCTCTTCTCCATTGACTTTTCAAAAATATCTTTAATTCTGATGGAATAAAATCAGAAATGACTCTTAAGTTTCTTAGCTATATAAAGGGATTAAGCCTAAATTCACAAAATAATAATTCATAAGCATAAATTCACTAAATAAAATCTTGATGAAAGCAAAAAAAAAAAACTATTCAAATACACTCCTATGTACAAATTTACTTTTAATCCAAAAGATTTTCTTAATGTGAACACTAACTACATTTTCAACTATTATAAATGTCATTTTGTAAAAATGAAAAGAAGGCTGGTGTTACAGTTTAGTGGCAGAGTGCCAGCCTAGGATGTTTGAGACCCTGGGTTCAATTCCTAGCACCACACACACACACACACACACACACACACACACACACACACCAAAAAAAAAAATTTTTTTTGTTTACATAAGAAAAAAGATTTTAGGAAAAAGCACGAGACTTAGGAATTTTTTACAGCTGAGTTGAAGAAAAATTATAATGCTGATTAGAAGCCAGGTGCCCAATTCAAAAAGCTAAGACACAGTATCTCTGCAAAAACGCCACAGTCAAATTTAGCATACAAACTAACCTAATGTTTTCCCAAAAGTTACAACTGTGAATCTGGACTAACTAATACAATCATAAGCACAGGTAGAAGTAGCCAGACTGTCTCTATTATTCTCACAAAACTGCATGTATCTGTTAATTACTGGACTGTGGTAATCATTCCACAATGTAAATACATTATCATGTATTTACATTTTGATACATTATCAAAAACACCATGTCGTATACCTTAAATATATGCAATTTTTACTTGCCAATTACATCTCAATAAATCTGTGGAGGGGGGAAAGCAAGAAAAAAAAAGTCTTTGTACTTGGCTCATCTGTCATGTTTCTAATAGCACTTTAAAAATTTATACTACAAAATAGAGTAGATGCTAAATTTAATCTTTAAAAAATGCTCAAAAATATTTGTACTCATTTTATTACTTGCATCTAATTTGCTGGAATCATGATCAATTTGGTTTTCTGTACTAAACTAATTAAAAATAATAGGTAGTAATATTTCATACTGATACTATTAGGTAGTAAGTAGTTGAAGGGAAAATTGAATGCTAATAAATCATTTCTTACAGAGGATTGGTTCATTTCTCCTCATGATTTTTACTGAGAGATATTCCTTTAAAAATATCTTCATTTCCCCCTTTTCTTTCAGGTACAGCACAGATTTATAGAAAGTTTTTAAAAGATAGGGAAAAGAAGTTATCTAAAAAACCTCTTGGAAGACGAACATTACATGCACATGTATAACTACATGAATGGTGTGACTCTGCATCATGCACAACAAGAGAAATGAAAAGTTGTGCTCCATTTGTGTACAATGAGTTGAAATGTATTCTGCTGTCCAATACAACTAGAACAAAAATAATAAAAAGAAATTGGTGAGGATGTGGGGGGGAAAGGTACACTCACACATTGCTGGTGGCACTGCAAAAAAAATTGCAACCAATCTGAAAAGCAGTATGGAGATTCCTTAGAAAACTTGGAATGGAACCACCATTTGACCCAGCTATTCCACTCCTCAGTCTTTACCCAAAGGACTTCAAATCAGCATACTACAGTGACACATCCACATTGATGTTTATAGCTGCTCAATTCACAATATCTAAATTGTGGAATGAACCTAGATGCCCTTCAATAGATGAATGGATAAAGAAACTGTGTTATATATACACAATGGAATATTACTCAGCATTAAAAGAGAATAAAATTATGGCATTTGCAGGTAAATAGATGGAGTTGGAGAACATGAAGCTAAGTGAAGTAAGCCCATCCCAAAAAACCCAAAGGCCAGGTGTTCTCTCTGATAAGTGAATGCTGATCCATAATGGGGGTGGAGAGGTGGGAAGAATGGAGGAACTTTGATTGGGCAAAGGGAAGGAAGTGAAGAGAAGAGGTTATGAGGGCAGGAAAGATGGTTGAATGAGATGGACATCATTACCCTAGGTACATGTATGACCGTATATAGAGTGGAACTCTACATATTGTACAACCAGAGAAATGAAAAGTTGTGCTCCATTTGTGTACAATGAATTAAAATGTATTCTGCTGTCATATATACCTAATTAGAACAAATAAAAAAACAATAATAGTAAACCTCTTGGAAGAAAACTGGTTGTCCTTGCCATAAGCAGATCTAAAACTGGTCATGGGAATCACTAAAATGACCTCTCGTACCTCCAGGATACTCAAAAGCAAGCACTTCTAGGGCAATCATGAATACCCACTGCTGGGTTACAACATCTCTGTACCCCTTTTAACCAAAATATTCCCTTTAATTATTTACAAAACAAAAACAACAAGAACAGATGTCCATAAATCATTTATTGATAAATGACTCAAATATTAGTTTAAGAAAGAAAAAAAAGATGTGATGGATGCCTTTAATAAAGGACTGTTGCCCAACTGCTGAAAATGCCCAGATCTCAGTCTGTTCAGGGATTTAATCAGCTGCAAAAGGCTACCTTACCAAAGATCATGCTCCTACCAGGGCAGCCCATATCCAAATACTGATGAACAGAAGTATAAAGTTGTGGTCAATCATCTTGGCCCAGCTCAGGACAACTAATTCTGAAAGGTCATTCTAACTCCAAAACTTCCCATGGGATCAGCTGGGGCTGTCATTGGTACTACATTGCCTCTTTGTCTGCCCAAACCTGCTTCTTTCCCTTTCTTTCTACAGATGTGGATCCGAAGGGCACCCACTTAATATTCTACAAACTAAATGCCATTACAGAATGTGCTCCCCAGGGAATCCAATCCATATCAGCAGGCAAAATGGGAAATGGGGGACAAAAGAATGTAAAAGGAGTCCTAAACTATTTTAAAGATTTTTCTCAATTATTTCATCTGCATACATGCCTAATATCAACACATTTTGCTGTGCATTATTACAGTCAGTCTAAAAAGTGGGAAAATAAGTACAAGCAACATAAAACCATTTAATACATAAAATATGCCTCTTAATGATATGAAACATACTGTAAAAGAATTTTTTTAAACGTAAGTCATCTTTGCCTAGATTTTGACAACACTATTATACATGGTTTTATATATTGTGTCTTTGTTTCATTTTTAATCAGACCATTCAGAAACCCAGATGTAAAATCTAAACCAGTAACCACTCAAAAGATTAGAGGTATACTTTAACTTAGCTCTAGGAATTCACACTTAAGGTAAGGTTCTATTTAGTAAAGGACTTATAGGTAAGAAATTCTAAATTAGGCTTGCTACTTATTTATGCTCAGTTTGCCAGGGACTACAAAAGAGTATCTGTCTTCCCTCTAAAGCTGATTCATCTTGCTGATTTAACACACAGGTTCCCAATCTGAAATAATATGTGAATTATGATCTTCTTTGAAAAGAACTTTTAAATTCATTTCTCATGTTCCATTTCACAATAATATAACACATATAATTTCTTAGCAGTCTTGACAAATAACTTTTCTCTGAGGGTGGTACAGGTAGTAGAGGATTTACAAGGCCCTGTCACATCCCCTAGATCCTCATTTAGTTCTAAAATAGCAGAGGCTTTCACCTGTTATGTAGGTGAAAGGGACTGTGTAAGTTTCTCCCTGAGTTTGGATGGTTTATGTCTCTCCTTCCCTTGCCCCTCTGCTTCCTCAATTAAAGTCATTCACTTCATTTTATGTTCATCTCTATATCTGTCAATATTCTAATGAAAAGGTTATAAGAAGCATTTATCAGAAGAATAACAAATAAATTATGAAAAATGTAGAATAATACACTTAATACTTACCAGGGTACACAAAATCTGATATGCTTCTTAAAAATTTACAGTATACAGTAATAATATACACATTACTACTATGTGTAAAGTTTAAACACATCTATTTTGAAAGTTAGGTTAGCTCTTATAGTATAAGGAAATGCTGTACAATATTAGTACCTTGAGAGCAATAAACAGAAACCACTGATAAAACAGCCCATACAGAATTTATGGGACTTTTAGGAACTCTTCAATGCTATTATATTAAAACACATTATCACAAATGAGCCTCTCTCTGAATTTCTTGAAAACCAATGGAACAATAAATTTCTTGGAAGTCATCATAAAATAAGGAAATAATAATCCAGATGACATAAAGCAGTGGCAGAAAACAAATGCTTCAAATGCTAAAAGACATTCAAATACTTCCATGTTCTCAATTTTAATAAGAAAAAGAACTTACTCTTTCAGCCCTGTCTCAGCACTATTCCCAGATACATCTGAACCAAGAGAAATTCCAGCAGGAGACTGTCGTCCAGTGAAGCCAGATGAGGAAAAGGAGAGTCCATACGGTTCAAAATTGAGAACTAGAATTTTAAAATAATAGTTTTATATTTTAAAAAAGAAAGAAAAAAATATCAGTTTCCATTCAATACTGAAATAATTGAACACTGAACTCCAGTAACAATTTTTAAACTACATAGGGCTTTGGAAATGATACAATCATATACTTGTAATAATAATAATAAAATAGCTGGGAGTGGCAGCACATATCCATAATCTCAGCTACTCAGGAGGCTGAGACAGAAGAATCACAAGTTAAGCCAGTCTCAGCAATTTTAGCAAGACCTTGTCTCAAAATATAATTTAAAAGGAACCTGGAGACATAGCTCAGTGATAAAGTGCCTGCCTAGTATTCACAAGGCCCTGGATTCAATCCCTATTCTCACACACATACACACACACAAAAAAAGTAATAATAAAGCAACTACCATTTATTGAGCATTTACTGTTAGTGTTCATATACTAGGTGATTAGAGATAAACTATTCCTTCATTTTTATATTTTTACCTCCCTTAGAAGCTAAAAGATAATTTAATTTAAAAAGACAACAGATAAATTAGGTCTACTGAAAAACTGCCAGTCTCACAAAAAAAAAAAAAAATATTTAATGAGCTATAAATGAAGAAAGGACCATGTTTTGTTTAATAAAATATTCCTAGGCACATTCAAATGAACTGATAAAGCCCTCAATCTGAAATCTCTTACTGACAAAAAAACTTACTCAAGTTCTGATTCTTTTGAATCTGTATAACCTAAATGAATTCAATAGGAGCCATGAATTTAATTTAACAATTCTGAATTATTCAAAATTGTTATTATGGCAGAGCAAACACCAATCTCCATTACCTTTCAATACTTAGCTAAGTACATAGCAAGCCAGAAAAGAGACATTTCTAGACCTTATGGCCATGTGATTGGATTCCTAGTCAATAAAATTATGCATACATTTTGTATGCAACTTCTTAAAGAAGTCTTCCTGAAAGGGAAATCAATCACTTCTCTTCCTCCCTCTTTCCTTCTGGCTAGACTGCAACTAGCTACTGGAGTGCAGGCAATCACCTTGGATCATGAAGTCACACAGGATGCCGGCACAGCAAAAGAGGTGGAGCTTGAGCTTTTTATACTTATGAAGCTATCAACTCCAGGATACCTATTTCTTTTGAGGGCCCCATATTATTTGTGTGTGTTTTTTGTTTTTAACCTCATCCTAACTGGCAAACTTATCTTCTGCAACTGTATAGATTATAACAAAAAGGACTTTCTTAAGCCATAAAAAGTATGTTAGAAAATATCAATTTCTGAAATTATTGTCCACATTTTACAAATGAGGAAACTGTGGCAGAGTTTGTCACAAACTTATCTCAGATGTAGGAAATGTAGGAAATGACAAAGCCAGATACAAATTCAGACACTCTAGCTCCAGAGATATACTCTTTTTTGGGGGGGTTGGGGGGCGGTGTTGTTTGCTGGGGATGGAACTCAGGGTCTTGAAATTATTAATTTCACTGGTCAATGAAATTATGCATACATTTTGTGTGCAATTTCTGGGAAGACTTCTTCTGAAAGGGAAAACAATTTCTTCTTCTCTTCCCTCTTTCCTGCTGACTAGACTGCAACTTGGTTGCTGTCCATAATTTCACTGACCATTGATCTCTATCACTGAGCTACACCTTTATCCTAGACAGCTGTACTTTCAACTATTATATTATACAGTCTCCTCCAAATGAAACAACACCTAATCCAAAGAGTACTAAATAAATGCTTGTTAGCTAAATGAATGACACAGAAAGGGAATCAGTGTACATGGGCTAAAGGAGGGGGAGCTAATAATCAAGAGACAGGAGTTCTTGATGTAGGCCTAATGTTAAATTATGTGACTAAGACCTTTTTTATTTGTCTGTAAAGAGGTAGGAACAGTTCAACAGTTTATAAATGCTGATCTGATAACCAGGATCAAGCCAACTTCATAGAATCTCCTAACAATCTTTTTATAAATGTAACTAAGCTTTCAAAGACTCAGATACAGAAAATATATATAAGGAGAGCTCAAAAATATGCCTCATTAAAAAAAAAAATGACTCAGCAGAAGGATCTCAAGTTCAAAGCCAGTCTCAGCAACTTAGTGAGGTACTTAGCAACTCAGCAAGACCCTTTCTCTAAGGACTAGGAATGTGGCTCAGTGGTTAAGTGCCCTTGGTTTCAATCCCTGGTACCAATTAAAAAAAAAAAAAAAAAAACACACATTGTGATTCTGATTCATATTTGCCTAAGTTTCTTTAAAGTCCTTTTCAGTCCAAATATCCTCTCATCCTAAGCTTTTCAATGATCCAATTTAACCTGCTATCCAATTCCAGCCTCCTCTTAATATCATCTATGATAGTTAGTAATCAGCCTCTGCATTAACACTTCAATAACAGTACCTAGCTCAAGACTCAAGAAATGTTGTCTACACACTATTAAAAACAGAGTTTCGGCTGGGGTTGTAGCTCAGTGGCAGAGCACTTGCCTCACACGCGTGAGGCCCTTGGTTCGATCCTCAGCACCACATGAAAATAAATAAATAAAAGTAAAGATATTATGTCCATCTACAACAACAACAAAAACACCAAAATTTAAGCAAAAGAAGTTCAAAATTAAAGGCAAGGAGTTCGAGAGACGAGAAAATTAGATATGAGTAAGGACAAAATCTGAAAAGCACACAGATAAAATTTCTATTCTAAGACTAAAGATTGTCATCTAAGGAAATATGGAAAGGCTCAAGTTTGAGATAGAAATTCAAGCCACAGTACTTTCATTCTTTAGTGAAAGCTCCCCCCAAGATTCATACAATGATGAATGACTAAAACAGGCAAAGATTTTGAGAAGTTAACTAGATGTGCATATGGGGAGCAGAAGAAGAAGAATGGTCTACAGAAAGAAATAAAAGGAAGAAGACATTTAAACTACAAGTCTGAATATGGAGAAGTGAAAACAGAGAATGAGGGCAAAGGGAAATTCATGCAGAAGACAGAGTATAAGCTAAAAATAGAATCCTTAGAGTTGGGAGTTAAGTAATACGGGTTTGAGAAAATATAGTATAAACTATTCTGGGTATAAGTAATTCAATATTAACCTCTTTGTATCTTCATGCTTTAGAAGACTGTATCATACACATTTCTTTATTTTACTTCACACTTCAATTCTTTTATACCTTGGTCATTTGGCTATACTTCTCTGACTATACTCAGCTACTATTATTATTTAATTTTACTTATTTAAGTTACTCAAATAATTTAAATTATTTAACTGTTTATTTATTTATTTTGAGACTAACAACGTAATTTGACATGATTTTCTAAAAGCCACAGTTCAACAGATAACAAATTATACTGCTATTTCCCCTTACTATTTCTAGTGTTATTCAACACTGGGACTACAACATTTTAAAATAATGTTTTATTAAGTAATCTACACTGATTCCTACGTGCTTTCCTTAGGTAAAAACTAAAATTGGTAATAAATTTTATAAATTTTATTGCCTACAGATCTCAGAGATTTTGCCAATTCTTAGTTTCCTGGAGTTTAGATATATAAACTGGACATTTTTCTATCCACAAGAGCTAAGTATCACTTATTAAAGCTACATTTAATAATTTAAATATAGCTCTCTACAAATGATTTCTTAAAAATCATCAGTATCAGAACTGACTGATATGTGAAGGATTTCAGAATTAACTCTTCAAGAGAAAAAAATTATTTTTCCCCTATCATATCATATCATAATTCTAAGATACATAATTTTACTTACAGCCAGTCACAATTCTAAGATACATAATTTTATAACTTATTCCACATATATTTATTAAGTACTTGCTATGTCCTATCTCATAGCCAATTTTCTTTTCTATAATAGTCTAAGCTCATAGAATTTCAATTTTGCTTTAAGGAACTTTTGAAAAACAGATTTGGAAGATGCTAATTTGAGAGCTTACTCTCATTTATAATGATGATTCTATGGGGAAAAAAATTACTTGGGAAAGGACTGCATCAGCTTGGAGAATTCAGGACTATCTATTATATTTGCATTAGCTACTTAACTTATTTTAAGAAAGAAACATGCAGTGTCAAGAATTAGTTTTCCCATTCTACCTCCCCTTCCCTACCCGACTCTTGACTTCAGTAATGATGACTGATGACTCCCAGATATATGAAAATAAAGAAACTGAGCAACTGGATCATGTCTCCACCGTGGAACTCCAAGAGACTTTCACTCTATGTCCTGGATGTCATGGATCTTTATATGAAGTACATAGATTGGGCAGTTGTAATTCAAAACTTTACCCCCCCCCCCCAATATATTCTATTAATACATAAGGAGTTATTGAGGAAAGAAACTGCCTGAATATTCTAGGCCATAACTATTACTAAATAACACATCAAATGCCTCAGAAGATCAGGATTGCACTGAATCTGCAAATCACTTGTAGTAGTATGAACTTTTAACATGAACTTCCAGTCCATGAACAAAGGATGTCTTTCTATTTATTTGTGTTGTTTGATTTATCATTAATGTTTTATAGTTTTTCGCATACAATCTTTTACCTCCTTTAGTTTATTCCTAGGTATTTTATCTTTTGGGGGGGGTACTATAAATAAAGCTACTTTCCTAATTTCCCTTTCAAATTAGTGTAGTACACAGAAGTGCAAATGATTTTTGTATATTGATTTTGTATCATGCAACTTTCCTGTATTTATTTATTAGTACTAAGATTTTCTTTATGGACACTTCAGGGTTTCAAGATCCCATTGTCTGAGAATACGGTCAATTACTTCTTCCTTTCAAAATTGGGTTTATTTCCTTCCTTCAAACCACCCTCCCTCCCTTCCTTTCTGCCTCCTTCTCCTCCTTCTTCCCTTCTTTCCTTCTTCTCCCCTCTGCTCTTTCTCATACCTATATAGCTAGGATTCCTAATACTATCTTGACTAGACATAAGACAGTATGGACATCCTTGCCTTATTCCTGATTTTAAAGGAAAAGCTTAATTAATGTTAGCTATGTGATTTTCATATATGGCCTTTATTATATTGAGGTATTTTCTTCTATTTCTAGTTTATTGCAAGTTTTTATCATGAAAGAGTGGTGAATTTTGACAATTGCCTTTCCTATATCTATTGAAACAATCATGTGACTTTTATCCTTTATTCTATGAATATAGTATATCTTATTAATTGATTTTGCATACCAGTGGGATTTCCTACTTAGCTGTGGTATATGATCCTTTAATATCTTGCTGGATTTGGTGTGCTAGTATTTTGTTTAGGATTTCTGCACCTATATTCATAAAGAATATTGGCCTATTGTTTTCCTTTTTTGTGGCATCTTTGTCTGGCTTTGGTATCAGGGTAATGCTGGTCTCATAAAGGGAGTTTTGAAGTGTTTCCTCCTCTTCTAATTTTTAGAAGAGTTTGAGAAAATTGTCCTTAATTCTTCTTTAAATGTTTGGTAGAACTTATCAGTGAAGTAAATAATCAAACCAATCTTGAGAAAGTAGTATAAAGCTGGAGGTGTCACATAGCCTGACTTGAAAATCTATTGCCAAACTACAATACTCAAAATGATATTGCACTAGAATAAAGAAAGACATATAGAACATACAAAGGAATATTTTTTAAGCCTTAAAAAAAGAAGGAAATTCTGCAATGTATAACATGGAGGATATTATCTTAAGGAAATAAGCTAGTTACAGAAAGACATACACTATATGATTTCACTTATATATAGGGTATCAAATTCATAGAATGAAATAGTGGGGAGGAGAAAATGAAGAGTTACTAATCAACAGGTATAAATTACAGTAAAGCAAGATGAATATGCACTAGAGATCTGCTGTACAATACTGTTTCTATAAGGCAACAATAGTGTATTGCACACGTAAAAATTAGGAGAGATTTCATGTTGTGTTCTTACCCCCCAAAAAATAACATGAAAATAGACTTTTAAAAATTAAAGCCTTAAGACTTAAAAATGGCATACTACAGGGACACAGCCACATCAATGTTTATAGCAGCACAATTCACAATAGCTAAACTGTGGAACCAACCTAGATGCCCCTCAGTTGATGAATGGATTAAAAAATGTGGCATATATACACAATAGAATATTACTTAACAATAAAAGATAAGTAAGATCATGGCATTTACAGGTAAATGGATGGCATTGGAGAAAATAATGTTAAGTGAAGTTAGCCAATCCCAAAAAAACAAATGCCAAATGTTTTCTCTACTAATGTTTTCCATACTAATCAGGGTTTTTTCCTGAAACTTTCACACAGATTGCTCACACTAATGTGTCAGCTATCCAGGACAGTGACCAGTATAATTTCACCTTCCAGTTCTTTGAAAATTCCAGAATGGTGGTCACACCTTGGGCATTTCTATATATGGATCTTGTAGTTTTGATCTGAGCTTTGTGACTTTATTTTTGAGTTCTGAAAACCAGGTGGGGTAAACAAATCACAACAGATTTAAAGAAGAATAATAAAAAGTAAATATCCCTTGTTCTTTAATATCAATTACATTAAAAATTTACATCTCTACAAGCTAGCATGTTATAAACTCATGAAAAATCACCTTTTTCCTGAGAAAGCTTTTCCTCTTGGCGTTGGTGGTGAGGTTTATAAGGTGCTGCCCCCTGACTGAGTCCTTCAGCCACAAAACCATCGAGAAAAGATAAGGAAGCATCTACCTACATAAAAATTTAGTAAAAATTAGGAATTACAAAATTTACTCTAAACAGTATATTGACATAAATAATTTTAGCACATATATCCTAAAAATATTTAAGCTAAAAACAGAAGCTTTAATTCTAAAACTGCTACCCAATTCTCTCACTTTCTGAAATATATCATCAGATCACCTAGCTATGAATCAACTTAAAACATTTGCAGTTATTATCAATTTTACTGCATAGCAGAATGTTTTTGAATATCTAATATGTATAATATCTAATATGTATAATATCTAATATGTATAATATCAACTGCTATGATTAAGACAAAGGAAGACAGAGTTTCAAACCTTCAGAGGATCTATAACCTATAAGAAGAGACAGACATACCTGGTATGAGTTAGAGTAACTGCCAGGGACTAAAATCAATGGTGTTGGCAGAGCCTTCTGGATCCGCCAGGGGAGAATCCATTCCTTGTCTCTCTGAGTTTTTCTCTAGACTGCCTGTATTCCTTGGCTTGAGGCCACATCATTCCAATATTTGCTTCTATTACTACTTTGCCTTCTCTAACCCTTGTGATTATATTACAGCATGACTACCTCGATAACCTAGGATAACCTTCCTGTCACAAAATACTTAATTTTATAACATTCACAACATTTTAACAATTAAGGTAAGATATACAGTTTCCTAGGATTAAAACATGAACATCATTGGGGGCCTTTAATCAGTCTCCCCACAGTGAAGAAATTATAAAGATGACCAAAGTGAAGGTAAAGGGATAAGAAAAAGAGATAGCAGAAATAACCACTGATTTGCTTCTCCTGACTTAAAACTTAATGTACAAGTGGCACCTCACACTCTGAATTTGGAAAGGTTTAGTTTCACTGAAATTCTTCAGAGATGGGGATGTGTCATCATTGTTATCTTTTATTGGGGGAAAAGAAAAGTGTAGCTACACATAATGAAATACTATGGATAGCATATTCATTCATCATTTAATGAGAGTATCTAGAATGCCTAATAAATGCTAAAGAAAGGCCTTTGTTTTTCAGATGCTATGGAAAAACATTAAAAATGTTCAAAATTAAAATGATATAAAAACCTGAGTCAAAATTAGTGGGAATATTAGTGAGGATAGGCATATCCTCTTCTCTTTCTCAATTATATGACAGCTAATGCACTAAAACTTAACAAATCTGGCTTCCTTTTAGAAATTTTCTGCTTTACACCAATCTGAAGGAAGGGATAATATGAATTAAGAAGGTGAACAGTAACTGACAACTAGAGATTGAAAGGTGTGGCAGGTCAAAGTAGATGAGAAAAGTAAAGGTGATCAGGTTCCAAAGCAGTATTCAGATAGGAAATTAACAAAATGAAATTAAGAATCACTTTTTCTTTTTTTTTTTAATAATCTCAAAGAAAAGAGCATGACTAAAATGACCTATAGAATTTCAAAGGAGATAAAAATAAAGGAAATTCATGAAATATTATATATTAAAAGAGACTGTCACAGGATATAAATATTTTTACTATCATTCTTCAGAAGAGATACTCTTTTCTTCCTGACAATTTAGAATCTACACTAAATGGAAGTTCTCAAATTCTCTCCCCTACTAATGTGAGAAAACTACAACCTTCATTCTGAATGTTACAGAAAATTATATTTTGATATATTCCTTATATATATATCACAAATGCAAGAATTACTGTTTAGACAACACAATTTTTAAAAGATCAAACACAGATGTCTTACCACCATTTCTTCACAACTCTTATCAACTGGAAACAAACTCTTCATAAGTTCTATATTTTCATGCAAATATTTTAATTCAAATGCATGCTGTCTCATACAAGTATCCAAAGATATGGTAAATTCCTGGATTAACCTCTCAACTAGATTAGAAGAATGTGCTTGGGGTGTCAACTTGGTCACAGCAGCAAACAGCCAGGCTTTTGTTTCTGAAGAAATGGAGTCATTCATAAGTAACTTGTAAAGCCTAGTTACAACATCCTCTGGCTTTTCCTTTTCTAAGAGGTAGGAATACTCTCCTAACACCTATGGATAAAACAAAGATTACATACACAGATATCAAGTTATACAGTAATACACATGCAGAAACCTAAAACAAAGTGAATTTAATCTAGATTAAACATACTTTCATGGTGAACGAATTACTAAAGAAACCATTGTAGTTTTTTGGTTCAAAATTATACCAAGAATTATATGCTCAATACAAAAGAACTGAACTCAATACAAAAATATTTTCCACATCCTTGTCATTAACAATATATAAGCAAGATACTTTTGTAACTTGATTTTCTTCTGAACTTTCAGAGTTAGTTGCCAGTTTCTACAAGCACTTTCCTCTAAGAATTTAAATCAGTGGTTCTTACATACTAATATGCATGAGAGTCACCTGAGATATTTCATAAAATACAGATTCCCAGTCTATCCTCAGATATTCTAATTTAGAATGACTGTGGTGAGGATCAAGGATATATATTCGGACAAGTATTGGCAATTTTGATATAGATGGTCCACAGAACAGACTTTGAGGAACACTGATATATGTTACATATCCTTTTTCTTTTCTTACATCTAACTTACTCAGGTGACACTGATATATGAACCATAAAATGATAATTCAGGGAATAAAAGATCTTTCCTAAATGATATTTTGGAACTTTATGTTTTTGGTACCAGGGATTGAACCCAGGGGCACCTTTACTACTGAATCATATCCCCATCCCTTTTTATTTTATTTTAAGACAGGTTCTCATTAAGTTGCTTAGTGCCTCACTAAATTGCTGAGGCTGGCTTTGAACTTGCAATACTCTGCCTCAGCTACTCAAGCCACTGGGATTATAGGCATGGGCCACTGTGCTCAGTTCTTCAAATTTCTAAAGAAAAATTAACAGCAATTCTACACATTTTATACACCTTAATACCAAAACCAAATAGAATACCAAAAAAGAATATAGAAACAACAGACTAATATACCTCATAAACATAGATACAAAAATTCTAACAAGCTCTCAAGGAATCTATAATTTAAAAAACTGCTTGAACACTAAACGAGTGCAACCAAAAGATCAAAATATGAAAAATCTGTATATATCAGCAACAAACACATGGAAACCAAATTTAAAATATCATACATTTAAAAGTGCTCTAAAGAAAATGAACCAAGTATAGAAACATGTATAGGAATTACATGGTATAAGAAGAAATTAGACAATCTAAATAAAGTGACATGCTATGTTCATGGAGAAAAAAAAAATTAATGATCACCAAATATATCCATTAATTCAAGAAGGATTATCAGTAAAATAAATAAGATCCATTATTCTGTATAATTAATCTCATTCTTAAGAAATTCATATAGAATTTTTTAGAAGTAAACTGTCATGCTATCTGCAATTCAATTTTTAAAATTTTTTTATTTGTTCTTTTTAGTTGTACCTGACAGTAGAATGACATATCATACATACATGGAGTATAACTTCACATTTTTGTGGTTGTACATGATGTGGAGTTACACTGGTCATGTATTTACATACGAACATAGGAAAGTTATGTCTAATTAATTCTACTATCTTTCCTATTCCTATTCCCCCTACCTTCTCCCCACTGCCCCCTGTCCAATCTGGTGAACCTCCATCCCCTCTCCCCACATTATGAGTCAGCGTACATACATCAGAGAGAACATTTGACCTTTAGTTTGGGGGGATTGGCTTATTTCACTTAGCATGATAGTCTCTAGTTCCATCCATTTACTAGCAAATGCCATAATTTTGTTCTTCTTTATGGCTAATATTCCATTGTGTATATGTACCATAGTTCCTTTATCCATTCATCTGTTGAAGGGTACCTAGGTTGGTTCCATAGCCTAGCTATTGTGAATCAAGCAACACTGATGTGGCCACATCACTATAATATGCTGATTTTAAGTCTTTGGGTATATACCGAGGAGTAGGATAACTGAGTCAAATGGTTTGGGTTCCATTCCAGTTTTTCTAAGGTATCTCCATACTGCTTTCCAGAGTAGTTGCACCAATTTGCATTCCCACCTGCAACGTATAAGTGTACCTTTTCCCTCACATTCTTACCAACATTCATTGTTACTTGTACTCTTGATACCTGCCATTCTGACTGAAGTGAGATAAAATCTCAGTGTAATTTTAATTTGCATTTCTCTAACGCAATTCAATTTTAAATGGCTCAGTAAACACACTGTATATAGGCAGACTGACCTAGATATAAAAATAGATGCAGATGTAGTAAAGCAAATATAGTTAAGAATGTTAACTGGGAAGCTAAATTTCAACTTTCCCACAGATGAGAAAATAAATTATGAGATTATAAATCTGTGGGTGTTTTTTAAATTTTATTTTATTGGTTCTTCTTAGTAATACATGACAGTAGAATAAAGAAAGAAAGAATGACTTTACACCATTTGCCAGTAAATGGATGGATATGGAGAATATCATGCTAAGCGAAATAAGGCAATCCCAAAAAACCAAAGGTTGAATAAATCTGTTTTTATAAACCACTAAATTTGTGGTAACATTGTTATATAGTTACAGAAAGCTAATATATAAAAGATATGTAAGTATTCACATATTCAAAAAACATACTGTTTACATAAAAAACATACTGTAAACACAGATATCTCAACAACTACCCATATTCAGAAGATCAGACAAGTAAGATGGCAGAGAGAAAGAAGAGATAAATAAATAGTTAACTGATAGATGGTAACTTGGGAAAGAAAAAGATATCTGAAGCAATTAGCTGAGTAGAACTGAATGATTTCTGGGGGAAAATATGGTAATATTTGGGTTTCATAAAAATTTATTATATAATGTAAATTGCTCACCCAACTCATAACTTGAAGAAATCTCTGTGGATAAAATGCATTTTCCATATCTAGTAAAGTAAGATAAGACTGAACTGCATAAAGCCTCAATTGCTGATCTTCTGTTTCATCATCAAAACCTACAAAGAAATTGGTATACCATTTTAATTTCCACTAAATTCCCTAATTACTCTGTAATGAAAAACATTTAATTTTAAAATCTTTACCAACCTTCTGCTAGCAGTCTCAGGAAGTTATTGGGAATATCAGGATGCATTACATCTCCACCCACTGAAAACACAGCATTCATTGTTTGAATAAACCATGCATTATCAGGAGCATATGTGTCCACAGTGTTAAGAACAAGTACACTTTCAAACTGAAATTATCTTTCTGTAGCAATCTTTTTTGCCAGAAACAAAAAACAAACAAACAAACAAAAGACCAGTTTATCTTTATCTTTAACCTCTGCTATAAATGTTCTATGTCCCAACTTTTATGTAAAATGTCTGCTCAATAAAGTCTATTTAATAAACTGCATTTATTTTATCTAGCACTAGGCTTACACATAATAGGTACTCAATAAGTAAATGAAAGAAATGAACTAGCTAACTAGGAACAAATAAATAAAGGAAAGTCATGCACACTTCAGAGAGGTTAAATGTTGTGAAGTGTCTACTTGAATAATTTATTTAACTTCTTTTCTAATATGTTCCTCATCAGTTCTAAAATTCTATCATTCTGCTGCTGGCCAGTGCTATATCACTGTCTGGATTAAATCACACTTAAACAACTTCCAAGATAATTTAATTAGCATTATTCATTCTTTCTCTCTTAGAATAACAGACATCTTTAAAAGAATGCAATATCCTCATGACTTACAAAGTTCCTCTGACTTTTAAAAAAGGATTGGAGAGAGAAAGGGATTCAGTTTCATTTTGTTGCATATGGATTTCTAGTTTTCTCAGCATCATTTGTTGAAGATGCTATCCTTTCTCCATTGCATGCTTTTAGCACCTTTATCAAATATAAGATAGTTGTAATTTTGTGGATTGGTCTCTGTGTCCTCTATTCTGTACCATTGGTCCACCCGCCATGCACAAAAGTTAACTCAAAATGGATCAAAGAGCTTGATATCAAATCAGAGACTCTGCATGTGATAGAAGAAAAAGTTGGCTCCAATCTACATATTGTGGGGTCGGCCTCCAAATTCCTTAATAGGACACCCATAGCACAAGAGTCAATAACAAGAATCAACAAATGGGACTTACTCAAACTAAAAAGTTTTTTCTCAGCAAGAGAAACAATAAGAGAGGTAAATAGGGAGCCTACATCCTGGGAACAAATTTTTACTCCTCACACTTCAGATAGAGCCCTAATATCCAGAGTATACAAAGAACTCAAAAAATTAAACAATAAGAAAACAAATAACCCAATCAACAAATGGGCCAAGGACCTGAACAGACACTTCTCAGAGGAGGACATACAATCAATCAACAAGTACATTAAAACAAATGCTCACCATCTCTAGTAGTCAGAGAAATGCAAATCAAAACCACCCTAAGATACCATCTCACTCCAGTAAGATTGGCAGCCATTATGAAGTCAAACAACAACAAGTGCTGGCGAGGATGTGGGGAAAAGGGTACACTTGTACATTGCTGGTGGGACTGCAAAATGGTGCAGCCAATTTGGAAAGCAGTATGGAGATTCCTTGGAAAGCTGGAAATTGACCCAGCTATTCCCCTTCTTGGACTATTCCCTAAAGACCTTAAAAGAGCATACTATAGAGATACTGCTACATCGATGTTCATAGCAGCACAATTCACAATAGCTAAACTGTGGAACCAACCTAGATTCCCCTCAATAGATGAATGGATAAAAAAAAATGTGGCATTTATACACAATGGAGTATTACTCTGCACTAAAAAATGACAAAATCATGGAATATGCAGGGAAATGGATGGCATTAGAGCAGATTATGCTAAGTGAAGCTAGCCAATCCCTAAAAAACAAATGCCAAATGTCTTCTTTGACACAATGAGAGCAACTAAGAACAGAGCAGGGAGGAAGAGCATGAGAAGATTAACATTAAACAGGGACGAGAGGTGGGAGGGAAAGGGAGAGAGAAGGGAAATTGAATGGAAATGGAAGGAGACCCTCATTGTTATACAAAATTACATATAAGAGGAAGTGAGGGGAAAGGGAAAAAAAAACAAGGGGGAGAAATGAATTACAGTAGATGGGGTAGAGAGAGAAGATGGGAGGGGAGGGGGGATAGTAGAGGATAGGAAAGGCAGCAGAACACATCAGACACTAGTATGGCAATATGTAAAACAGTGAATGTGTAACCGATGTGATTCTGCAATCTGTATACGGGGTAAAAATGGGAGTTCATAACCCACTTGAATCAAATGTATGAAATATGATATGACAAGAACTATGTAATGTTTTGAACAACCAATAATAAAAATTTTAAAAAAATTAAAAAGGATTGGAAAAAAAAAGTAAATTATGAGTGGAGTTTTCAACTACTTTATTGTGACAATTCCCAATGTAAACAGTATCATAAAAATGCATTTTAGAATCCTGTCCCTCCACTTTATCCTCTCCTACCCCAAAACAAGAACTTTTACTTAGAAAAAGAAGCTCAGTAGAAAGTCAAAGATAAGAAGAGACTGAATGATAAATCATCATGAGAGAAAGAGAGAGAATGAGAAGAGACAGAGAGAAAGAAAAAGAAAAACAAGGGAAAAGAGAGAGAAAGAACAAACGTACAAATGAATGAATAAACGAGGTAGTGGCTGCTATGTTTTCCTGCTCAAAATACTAACCAACTGAACAAAAGAAACCAGGGAAAAAGCCATCCTCCAAGAAGTCTACATAAATTCCTATCTTTGACAATGACAGACTTAAGCATCAAGAATGCAAGTTATTGGTGGGTCTCTGACCTCAACTTGCAAAAATCATATATATACCGATCATTTTAAAGTTACTGCATAACTAAAGGTATTTTATGACTCCTGATCCAAACAAAGGATATTTCTCAGCCAGCTCAGCTATTTTGCCAACCAAATTGACAATGATATACTCTTCTTTGCTCTGATGTAAATATTCAAGCATCTTCTGGACAATAACTGTTACATTCTGTGCATTTGTAATTCTGTAAAGAAGTTCCAGAGTCTATTTAAGGAAGAGAAATAAAAACAATATTATAAAACTATGCATGATAACATTAATAAACATAATAATATTTTTTATTAAATAGCTGATTATTTCACTTTTATGTAGATCTACTATTGACAATCAGTTAACAGATGATCAAGAAATACAAATTTTAACTAAAAAAAAAGCTTAAGTAAAAATTAGCTGGGTGTGGTGGCACATGCCTCAACTCCCAACTACTTGGAAGGCTGAGGCTGAGTTACATATTTGAGGTCAGCCTGGGCAACTTAGCAAGAGCTTGTCTCAAAAATCAAATAATAAAAGAGGGATGGGGAGCAGGGGGATGCAACTCAGTGAGTGTGTTTGCCTAGCATGCATAAGGTCCTAGCTCAATTCCCAATACTACCAAAAAAAAAAGTAAAATTATATTGTCAAAAAGTAAACTGTGATCAATCTCAAAATGTAAATATTTTCTATTGGGATAATTGAGATATGACATTTCTATGATAGAATATGCAAAAACTAAAAAGTTAAAAGGTTTATAATATATTTTCTAAAAATGTAACAGCTCTTAAATGTTAAATGTACATTACTTATGTCTATGGTTATATGGGTAGGCACACATGTATCTATAGTGTGTGTGTGTGTGTGTGTTTATAAATTCAGTGTCACAAACTATTCAGCACTACTCAAACAACAAAAAACAGCACTTAAATGCATTTGGCAGTTGAGGGCAAATGGTCTCTAATGGATAGACAAAGACTGATAGTTCAACTGGTTCAAATGTAGCAAGGCTTACATTCAGAATCTCAAATATCAAGGAAGAATTTTTTTATTTTATTGGTGGGATTCATTATGGTGTATTAATATATGTACATGGGAAAATTATTTTGGATTCATTCCATTGTCTTTCCTTTTCCTGTCCCCCCTCCCTTCCCTTCATTCCCCTTTGTCTAATCTACTGAATATCTATTCTTCCCCTCTCCCCTCTTATTGTGGGTTAGCTTCCACATATCAACAAAAACATTAACCTTTAGCTTTTGGGGATTGGCTTATTTCATTTAACATGATAGTCTTGAGAACACCCATTTATTTGCAAATGTCTTAAAATCATTCTAAAGAAGAACTATATCCCATTTGGCTGGCTTTCCAAGTCCCTAAATTAAGATTCTAAAACATAACTCAGAGAAATCAGTGAGTCCAATCAATATGTCCAAAGGCAATACTGAGAAAGCATCATTTACTGGTGTTTTAGGGCCAAAAATATTATCTACAAAAGAATTTCCATCTATCCTAGTTATCAAACATGTTAAAATATCTTTAGGGCTCTTTCTGATTTTTCAATCCTTACAGCCAGAATTTCTAGTACAAATGATAATACATTTTGAAATGTGTTTAAGTTGTTTTAGTTAATGCCTAATTCCATTTAAAATCTATAAACATACAGTTCTCCATTATCAATAGCTCTCACTCTATTAAACTGTTTCAGATATGCTCTCTGTGGATTCCAAACTGTATGTTTTATGTTATTAAATAATCTACACTTAATTTCTTTCTTACTCTAAGAATTTAATTTGGCATTTCCAAACTGGAAGGGAGTACTATGTGAGAAATTACATGGCTGGAGGTTTTTTCTGTTTATCCTTGATAACTCATTCTTGCCTTTTTTCTCCCTATAGGAAAAATAATAAAACCATGTGAAAAGGAATCCCATCTCATATAACAGATCACTCCATGCCCAAAAAACAAAGCTCTTGCCATGTCACTATTAACAGAAGTTAAAAGTAACAAAGGCATTGAGAAGAAAGTACAACAGTACCCTCTGTGGGTAACCACTGATACTCAATATCTTCTCCAAAGAATTTGAACTACTTTCCTCACTGTAAGCAATTGATCTAACAGATTAGACCTGGTAATTTTGAAAGTTGCCTATTTTCTAAGTCTCATTTCTAAATGAGAGTCCAATAATTGCATATATTAATAAGAAAACTATAAGTCAGCCCTGTTCAACCAAACCCCATTAGTAGTTAATCACACAAAGAAAACACATGTTCTATATCTGGTATAGCAGAAGGACTGTATAATTATTTTTTTATTTTGTTGTCCCTGGAGCCTTTTCATTTTTCTATAATGCCTGCAAACAGAAATTTGTACATCTGCAAACTTCCCAGATTCATTCAAGGCAGGTGACAGGTAACAATTTTCAGATGATTAAAAATATGAATATGCCAGGCACGGTGGCACACACCTGTAATCCCAGAGGCTCAGGAGACTGAGGCAGGAGGATAATGACTTCAAAGCCAGCCTCTGTAAAAAGTGAGATGCTAAGCAACTCAGTGAAACTTTGTTTCTAAATAAAATACAAAATAGAACTGGGGATGTGGCTCAGTGGTTGAGTGCCCCTGAGTTCAATACTTGCTACCCTCCCCCCAAAAAAAGAATAAATATATGTATTTCACATGTTAATATATACTTAGGTACGTATAAGAGGGTAAACTTCTCAATATTTTTGTTTCAAAATGCCTTTTAAAATTAAAAATTCATAATTTTTTAAAATTACTATTGTTAAGTACTATATAGTATTCATCTAATAAGCTCTATTGTTATCTCACTGCTCTTAAGATATTAAGATATCTTAATATCTTAAGAGATAACAATAGAGCTTATTAGATGAAAGTTTAGTATATCCTATTATTTTAACCTTTATTATTTTTAAGATCAAAATAAAACTTTGCATTCTTCTTAACTCTTTTGTGGAGTTAAATAGCCTTTTAAATGAAGATACTCTTTGAAATGAAGCTACAGAGTGATTTCTCTACATGAGAATTAATAGAAATATTTATACTGACACCCAATGGAACATTGAAATAATTTTACAAAAGGAAAGAGTTGAAACAGAACTAAGTACATAAATATTTATTCCCGTACGTGGAAGCTAGAGAGAAAAAAGCGGGGGGGCGGCGGGGGGCAATCTCATGAAAATAGAAGGGAGACCAGTTGGGTAGAGGAAAGGGACCAGAGGAGGGTAAGGGGAGATACTGGGGAATAAAACTGATGAAATTATGCTATAAGAATGTATCATTAGGCCATAATGAATCCCACTACTATGTAAAACTATTACACACTTAGTTCTGAAGAAACAAAACTAAGTACAAAATTATACCTTTTCTTCCAAGAAGTTCAAATCATTTTATGGATATCTTCATTCTTTCAATATTCTTATCTAAGTGAATTCACTAACTCATTTTACAGAAGTAAAAGAAAATAATGGAAAATATTAACCATCATAAATTATAACTTATGTAATAGGAATACATCTTATATTGTAACCATAAGACCTAGGACTAGAATTCAGGTCTCTATTGGTATAATGCTTAAGCCAAAAAGATATTAATGAACCCATACAGATAATTAGAACTAACCTCTCCAACTCATTAATTTAAAAACATTCCTACAGACATTGATGATACTTTTTTAAAATGTTACTTACATTTCAGTAGAATATATGCAAAAGCTAAAATACATAAAATACACACACTACCCACTACTTTAATCTCTCTCCAAAATACCAACAAAGAGTTTTAAAATTTTAACACTTCAAGTGCATTATTCAAAATACTCATTTACCTCTCTCTTAATAATGGGATCAGGATGGTCTAAGCATTCAATTATTGTCATCTGGTGCTGAAGAGCCAGAGTAGGATCCTGTTGAATAACATAGGTAAGAGCCTTCAGTCCTAGAAACAAAAATTACATGAAGTGACTTCAAACAAGTATCCAGAAAATTTCAAAAGTTCTCTATAACTTCCATCAAAAGAATCAATTACCTTACCTAAATATTTAAGATTGATTTTAGGGGAGAGAACAAATTTTCCAATGCACTTAGCAGCCTTCTCAAGTAATTCTGACTTAGGATAAATAGAATAGACTGTATGTACGCATTCAAACAGAATAGCTAGAGAAAGAAAACATAAAAATGGAAGATATATTAGGTATAATACATGAACATATTTGTGTAGAACTTGTAATAAAAAAAACTAACTGAAAATTCAGCTTTAGTCAAAAATTTTTTATGGAAAAATTTCAAAGAAAGTACCTTTACTATTTCCAGGCTTATACAGTTATTAGGATTAAGTTATTATAGTACAATTTAAAGAAAATTACATTACTAATGATAAGAATGATACATTCATTCATGCAACAAATATTTACTGAACATCTCCTATGTGCCAGACATGGTATTAGTACTATGAATACAGCAGTGAACAAAACAGAGAAGAAAAACCCCTATCCTCAAGAAGTTCACATTGTAATAGGCACTTAAGCAATATATTCATAATTGGTGTATAAATAGATCTTTCCAACACTCATTGACTGCTTTAAAAATAGTTTATTCACATGTAGTTTCTACCACATACACAGAAATTGCATCTGTAGTTTATTTCAATATAATCATTTTAGGGTACTCTAACATTGACAAAGATAGGGTCACTATTTTTAAATGTTCAGGCTACTTTAAAATTCACTTCAAATATGTAGAAGAGTCTAGTATACATCTTGATACTGTCAAAATTTAATTTCCCAATACAGTCATTAGTCTACAGTGATCAAAGTGGAAACTAAGATGTTTTCAAATTCTTTTATTTTTTTAAATTTTTTATTTTTTTATTTTTTAGGTGTAGATGGACACAACACAATGCCTTTATTTTGTGTGTGTGGTGCTAAGGATCGAACCCGGGTCCCGTCCGTGCTAGGCGAGCTCTACTACTGAGCCACAATCCCAGCCCCTCAAATTCTTTTAAATGTGAGTTGACAAGTTGGAGTTTTGCAATGGAGAAGAATCACTGAGACATCATTAAGTCCCATAAGTACCATGGAATCATAGTATCAAAAATGATACACAGAGAAGGCACAGAATCAGACAACTTAAAAATAGTTGTACCACAAACTGAAGCATATCAAGTGTCAACAGAATTACTCTTTATTTCTAAAAGCTTAAAAAATAACAATCAGATACTTTCTTCATGTATAAGACATATTAATGAGTATTCAACTTGCTATGTTTTATACTATGTTGACTATCAATTAATACACAAATTTTACCAAAAAAATACATAATCTATTCCATAGAGGAAAAAATGAGGATTTGAATTATTCTTTATCAAGGACTCTAACACAAATACTATACAGTAAGTTAAATAAACTTAAAGATACTTTGCATATTCAGAGGATCTGCTTTATTCTGCATTGGGGGGGGGGGGTGACTTTGATTTTGTGAACTAAATAAAATAGACAAAGAGGACTTTGATTAATCCACTAACTACCTAAGTCAGGAATGGGCAAACGTACACAATTCAGCCTTCAGTCTATTTTTATAAGCCTATGAACTAAAATTATTTACATATTTTTAAGATATTGTATAAAAAGAAAACCCAAAAAGAATATGCAATAGAAACCTATGTGACCTGCCTGAAATATTTACTGTCCTAGTCTCCCGTGTTTAAAAAAAATTAAAAATTGCCAAACCCTGAACTGTCATGGCAGCCCTAAGTAAGGTTAAAAATGACAATAATCTGTTTTCCATTATAACTAACAAATTTTTCTTTGCAGTCACCTGCTACTGAGAACTCTCCTAGTATCAAATATGTTTTACTAACTAAAACATGTCATTACCTACCTAAAATCCAAACTCTTATATATAGAGATGCTCATAAGATTTCTGAGATGCTAGGAAAAATTAACAGTTCAAAAATTATAGATATTATTAGTCTCCCCAGGCATAATTGGGTTGAAAATCAATTCAATGGACTTTTAAATTATTTCCCACCTACAGCTAAGTCCATAATTGAAAGAGCAGCTACTTGCTATCTCCTCTTTGCAGTGGTTAAAAAATGAATGTGCTTCTAAGGATTTCTAAACTTAAAAACATATCATAGAACTTTGTTTACTCTTCAGTAGTAACCCAGGTCCTAATTCAAATACCAAGTAAAATTTACTAAATTAAAAATAATGTTCTAACATTCACAACACTAATTTTATCATTTATATTTTGGGTTGGATTATATTCAGACAAAATTTGAAGTTTTTCTGGTACCTTATCCTTCAGACTGGACTGCACTTTCACTTTAAATCTCTATCTACTAATACCATTCCAGCAGGGGAGAGTGAGGAACTGCCCAACATGAGTGGAAGTCCAAGTTCTCCACTCTGCCTCCTTTGACATGTGGAGAGAGATACTCCTTGTCATGCTGGGTAAGAGGGTTATCTGCTCATATCACCTGCCTGTGAGAAGAAGGGGTCCCTCATTATTACTCCCAATAAGGACTCCACTAATACTGAGAGGGGGTTAACCTCATTGTCAATGATCAGTGGTGAAAGCCCTGACTCCATCAGGCTTCTTTTAACACAACCCCAGCAGACAGAGTACCAGGTGGATATGAAATCCAGCATTCCCATACTGCTTCCACTCAAAATGCAGGAGATTGGGGCCTTAATCCCTGCCTAACAGGAGTAAAATTCTAGCTTCCTTCTAGGGTTCCTCTACCACTACCTAATAGGGAGAGCCGGAGGTTGGGGTACCTCATTCTAACTGGTGAGAATGGAAATCTTGGGTCTCCACTTGACTTTCACTGGTTGGTAGTCACTTTTTTTCTGTGTAATACTTGGCTAGAATAGAACATTTATTGTCAGCAAGTTTTCTGTCTTGCTAGTTTTGGCCTTTTCTTCTTGGTTGTTTGGGATTTTTTCCTGTGTTTATTGGTATTTCCAGATTGCTGGCTCTCCAGTACCCAATAGAGGTATTGAAGCAAAAAGAAAACCCAGAATATTCAACACTGTGTCTTTCCTTGTGCCTCAAGGTTCCCAACGAGCCTGACATTTTTTCTCCATCTTCCTGAGTCATATTTTTCTTACATTATTAATATCCAGGTTTTCAGGTAAAGTCAGTGGGGAAAAAAAACAGGGGAAAGTGCTTAATATCTACTTTTGATGGCTCTGTCCCTTATGCTGCATTTTATATATTTCTCCCAAATTACAAGTTTCCTAAAAATGCCATTCTCATTTCAGCATCACTCTGCCCCCAAATTTCTCACAGCTCCAGATTTATAAGTCCAAACTTATTTGGCTGCCATGAGAGGAACTTCACAATATCGGCTTTCCACTGCTCCCCACCATGGTCATCATTCAGAATGCTGTTCTCTGAAACAGTATTAAACATCCCCAGTTCTATACCTTCTCAAATGTCCCTCTGCCTAGAAGTCCCTTCAACCTCCCTTTTGCCTATCTAAATCCCACCAACTTTTCAGGATCCTACCAAATCTACTAATGTTCATCTTTGCCCTCAAGCCCATAGTGATCTCTACCACCTATGAACTGCTATAATATTTATTCCCTGTATCACCCCTTCACTTTCTGCCTAATACTGGTATATACTTTCATGAATAAGCTATCTTTTCCATTATACTATAAATTCCTTAAAAAAAAAACTACAGCTTATACCTCTTCATATCTTCTATACCACTTTATACAATGCCTGGCACACAGCAGATACCCAATAAATGTCTTTGATATACTTTATTTCTTGATTTGATACTAAGATAAGTTATAATGATGGACTTCTATAAAAATATAGTTTAGAAAGTACTGAAACTGAAACCCAATTAGATAAGTAATTAACTTTCTCTTCCTCTAAATAAAGCATATTAATCATTGATTAACCCAGTGCCAAATACTGGAATATGCTGGTCAATCAGACAGACATAATCCCTGCCTTATGAAGCTTATAATTTAAAAATCACATTTTTTAAAAAACAATACTTAAATTAGATTATTAGATAATACTCTACCAATGATGCAATCAATGTAAGTATAAACTATCAATACAAATATGGGGAAAACATAACAATGAAAAGCTAAAGAAAATAAAACAACAGAAACTCTAAGGTCTTGGTGGGAAGGTTAAACACTGAACCAACAACCTATAAATATAAAAATTGTTGGTGTTGGACCAAGCAATAGAAACAAAAGGGTCCTAGTGGAGAACAATAAAAAATATTTCCTCAGGTATACAGCATTCTCCAAGTCAAAAGGAATAGATAATAGTAATTATCTCCAGGAAGGGGAACTGGGTGGTGGATGATAAGGGTAGGAAAGAGACTTACTGTTCATTGTATACCCTTTTGTATCTTTTGAATTTTGAACCATGTGCATATATTACCTATTCAAAAAATAAAAAAATTAAAACTGAAATGTCAATTATATATATATATATATATATTTTTTTTAAACTTTCTGCCAAAAAAAAAAAGCAGAGTCTAAACTAATCTTTTTTTTTTTTTTAGTTGTTGATAGACCTTTATTTATTTGTATGTGGTGCTGAGAATCAAACCCATTGCCTCACACATGCCAGGCAAGTGCGCTACCACTGAGCTCCAACCCCAGCCCTCTAAACTAACTTTTTTTTTTTTTTAAATTTTTTATTGTGGGTTGTTCAAAATATTACAAATTTCTTGACATATCATATTCCACACTTTGATTCAAGTGGGTTATGAACTCCCACCTTCACCTCATACACAGATTGCAGAATCACATCAGTTACACATCCATTGATTTACAAATTGCCATACTAGTGTCTGTTGTGCTCCGCTGCCTTTCCCATCCTCCACCCTCCCCCCTCCCCACCTCTCCCCTCCCCTCCCCTCCTCTCTCTCTACCCCCTCCACTGTATAACCCTGAGGGTCTCCTTCCATTACCATGCTATTTCCCTTCTCTCTCCCTTTCCCTCCCACCTCTCATCCCTGTTAAATGTTAATCTTCTTCTCCTGCTCTTCGTCCCTACAACAAAAGTCTTTAAGAGTCTTTCAAACCCTATCCTGGACACTGATTACATCACAGGCAAAACATTTCTATTTACTTCAGCTGGCTGGAAAGAAGCTGACCCTTTGTTGAATCTTCTGACACCTCTTGACTGAACCATCTGCCTCAGTAAGGGTCATCCTCATCTGCATCCCCTTATTCTTACTGTATAGCTAGAACCTAGATAATATCATCAATTCATTATAACGTGCACTCATAAGGGGAGAACTGTGTCTACCGTATTCTTCCTTTATCTCCTACACCTAACACAGAGGAAGACTTAGTCCCAACAACTCTCTCCTCAATCTATATCTTGTTTAAAACAAATATCAAATTTTAATTGCACAGGTCTTCAAATAAATACAGGTTGAACAAACGAATAAAGTACTCATATTGCCTTAATTACCATTTGTACACACAAAATATAAATCTCTCCTTCAAAATTTACTATTCCAACCAAGGGCAGTGGCACAGGCCTATAATCCCACCTACTAGGGAAAGTGGGGCAAAGGGATCTCAACTTTGAGATCAGCCTGTTTAACTTAACAAGACCTTGCATCAAATAAAAAATAAAATAAAATAAAAAGGACAGGGAATGTAGCTCAGTAGTAAAATGCCCTGGGTTCAATTCCCAGAACCAGGGGGGGAAAAAAACAATACACACACACATATACAACTATTCCAATTCACTATCATATTCATTATTTTTCTGAATTAGTCTCAGAATCCTTTCTCCTTATAATACTTGTCAAACAACTTTTTCTCGGGGGGTGGAGAGGGTACCAGGGATTGATTTCAGGGGCACTTGACCACTAAGCCACATCCCCAGCCCTATTTTGTATTTTATTTAGAAACAGGGTCTCACTGAGTTGCTTAGCACCTTGCTTTTGCTGAGGATGGCTTTAAACTCACAATCCTCCTGCCTCACAAGTAATGCTGCTAACCTGCTACTTCATGGTACAGTAAGTCCTGTGTACCCACATGTTCCACATCTATGAGTTCTACATCTACAGATTCAACCAGCTACAGATCAAAAACATTTGAAAATAAAAATCTGAATCTGTACTGAACATATAAGGGTTTTTTTTTCCCATTATTCCCCAAACAATATAGTATAACAACTATTTACATAGCATTTACATTCTATTAGGTATTATAGGTAATTTAGAGATGATTTAAAGTATGTGGGAACATGCGCAAAAGTCACCTACAAACACCATGCCACTTTAGGTAATCGACTTGAGCATCCAGGAAGCTCAGTTGGGGTTGGGGTTGGGGCTGGGGTAAGTGGGCCATGGGTGGGGAGTCCTGGAATCAATCCCTTCTAGATGCAGAGAAACAACTTTATTTTACCAGATTAAAAATATATTCTCATTTGAGATATTATCTCTCAGTGCCCCTTCTACTGATCTCCTCTAAAGCACACAAAATTTAAACAGTTTTTTTTTCCATTTTTAAACAGCTACAAGAATCTAAATTTCTTCACTGATCTTTCACAGACGGGTCAAAAAAGAATAGTTCCTCTCTCTGGCTGAATGTTTCTTGGTTACTTTCTCAGTTGTCTACCCTTCTCCAACTTACCTTTTGAAGTCAAATATAACATTTATTGCCTCATCACAAAATAACATTATTACTCTACAGCTACGTATTTTTATCTATATCCTACTCATCCTTCAGATGTCTTCTTAAGCACCACTTTTCAGGAAAACCTTCCTATTCTCCTACTTGTCAAGACTAGCTGCTATATTCTACCAGAATACCAAGTAAGTCTCTCCTGTAACATTTTACAACACCTTTCCATTCCCATCTATGTAGTCTGTAAGCCCCATGATAATACTATTTTATTCACGGCTGTATTCCAAGCACCTTGTATGGGACCTGACAAATAACAGAAATTTAATTACTTGACAAGTAATTGACTACTTAAAAACTTTCTTCAAATATAAACTTTCACAAAACATGCAACAGACTTATAGTTATCCCTGCAATCAATTAGATATTTGATTAATGTTTTCAATGAAAACACAAAGTATAATGAATTTAGGTCCATATTTAGAAAATGCCAAGATTTCAAATTATTGCTATTTACTTATTTAAATAAGAAAATTTTATTTTTTATTTTAAATAAATAAATAAAATTTATTACTTATTTAAACCCAAAGAAGTACCATAAAAGTAATGCAAAAAATTTTACTGGAATTTATGGTTTATTAATCACAGATTTAGCTATAGTATAAAAAAACACCATTAGTCATTAAAATAACATATACATACATTACCTACCATAAGTGACATTGTGATTTAACTCAGCTCTTCGTAAGGATTCATCAAGAACATCATACATTAATTCACTTGTCCTGTTTAAAAGACATTTTATTTGCAGTAGAATTATAGTATTCTAAACCAATAAAACATAGTTTTTCAAACTTCTCTCTTTAAAACTGAGGATCTACAGAAGAGAAGTGAAAGAAATTCATTTTATGGTGAAGTTATACAAATTTCACTTCCAAAAGATTTCATTTGCTCTTTTCATGAGTAGAACTTCCACTTTATCAAAGTTGACTAATAAGTCAATGAAGAGATATATGTATAAGTCAATCAACTCTTTCCTCACCTATTCTATGCTGACAAACTAGGTTATTTGATCAAATACATTATCTTTTACATTTCCTTTGCAACAAAATATTTCCACCTGTTTTAAATTTCTATAGTAATACCTGACATATCCAAATAATTCTAGATAGTCTATTATCTGTTTTTTAATCAGTTTGTCATTTTTAAAATATCCAAATACTAGTCTTTCCCTTAACAGCAATAAGGTTCTCTAGTGAGAAAATTTTTAACTTTCATTTATATTAAAAATAAAGAAATGTTTTTTGAAATTAACAGATTTGTACCACTCACGTTTCTCTGTGATTATTGATTACAGTAACCATAACTGAGTTGAGACAGATTATTAAAAATAAATTAAAATGCAATGCCTATGAAATCCTAGCACTCTGACACCAAGTCTCCAGGAGAAAAGTTCTTGCCAAGAGACCAATGTGAAAACTACTGCCTCTGAGCTGGTATTTTTGTATGTTTTACAAATTAGAAAAACACTAATGGGGGCAAAAAACAGCAAGCACATGTTACATACAGTGGTCTTGCTGAGAAACCAAACTATAAAACAAAGAAATATCAAAGTAACCTAGGGCTATATATATTAGATATCATGAATATTTTACATTTTCCTTCAAAAATTTGTCTTCTCATTCCAAATACAGAGCTATAAAATTTAATTTTAAGTACATGTATTTTCATTCTGTCTTAACATATAAATATCCAATAATAAGAATCTAGAACCATATTCTAAAATCTCTCATTTTATTATACAAACGTTCCACAACAACAGGTATTACCAATCTTCATCCATGAAGAAAAGAAGATAATGACTTAAGGAATTAGTAAATAAATTCATTAAATGCCTCCTAACAATATATGATGGCATAAGTTTCTTTTATACCAATAAAATATAATGCTCTCAAAAAAACTAAAATGTAGCCAGGCGCGGTGGTGCATGCCTGTAATCCCAGTGGCTTGGGAGGCTGAGATAGGAGGATCACAAATTCAAAGACAGCTTCAGCAATGGCAAGGCGCCAAGCAACTCAGTGAGACCCTATTTCTAAATAAAACACAAAAGAGGGCTGGGGATATGGCTCCATGGTTCAGTGCCCTTGAGTTCAATCCCCAGTACCTTAAAAAAAAAAAAAAAAAAATACTAAAATGTAATCAAACTGCCTTGAACAACTCAGAAAAAAATTTTAAAAATAAAAATAATATGTACCCAAAGAAAGAGAATAATAAAGCAAATATAAATAACTACTGATCTAAGAACAGGGTCTAAGGGACCTCCTTGTACCCAGTACTATTCTTGAAACTTAGAAAGTTTGTAAATTTTAAAAGTATGGTAGCAGGGCATGGTGGGGCACACCTATATTCCCAGCAGCTCAGGAGGCTGAGGCAGGAGGGAGGATCAAAAGTTCAAAATCAGCCTCGTCACTTAGCCAGGCCCTAAGCAACTTAACCCTGTCTCAAAATTAAAATAAATAGGGCTGGGATATATAGTTCAGTTGGTATAGTGCTTGCCTCACATATACAAGGCCCTAGGTTCAATCCCCAGCACCACCAAAAAAACAATTAATTAATTAATTAATTAAAATAAATAAAAAGGGCTGGGGATGTGGCTCAGTGGTTAAGTGCCCCTGGGTTCAATCCCCAGTACCAAAAAAAAAAAGTATGGCAAAATTTAAAGTTACTAAAAATACATATAGTTGGAAAGATAGCCATAAAAACTTTGACATATGTCACTGGCTGAAAAAAATGATTCAAAATATGAATTTAAAAAGTGAGGCTCTCACATCCAACTAGAGCAAAAGTTGGCAAACTACAGCCCACAGGCCTCATCTGGCAAAACACCTGTTTTTTAATGGCTGTACACTAAGAATAGTTCTTACATTTTTTTAATGGTTGGGGAAAAATCAGAAGGATAATATTTTATGATGTAAAGACTATATAAAATTTACGTTTTAAAATCCATATTTTCTTGGAACACAGTCATGCTCATTCATTTAGGTACTCTCCGTGGCTGCTTTCACACTGTTAACAGCAAAATGGAGTAGCTGCAACACATATGGCACACATAGTCTAAAATATTGCCTGGTCCTTTGCAAAGTTTTGCAACCTCTACTAGAAAAATTAAGAAAGCTTACAGGCTGAGTCTGTAGCTCAGTGGTAGAGTGCTTGCCTTGCATGCATGAGGCACTAGGTTCGATCCTTAGCACCACATAAAAATAAATAAGTAAAATAAAGATATTGTGTCTATCTACAACTAAATATATATATATATATATATATATAAAGAGGTTGGGAATGTGGCTCAAGTGGTAGCGCGCTCACCTGGCATGTGTGAGGCTCTGGGTTCTATCCTCAGCACCACATAAAAATAAAATAAAGATATTGTGTCCACCTAAAAAAACTAAAAAGTAAATATTTTAAAAAATAAAAATAAAAAAAGAAAGAAAGCTTTGCATGGAAGCCTACACCCAGTTACCTTTCACAATAGGGAGTATTAGGATAAGCTGAGTACCAGGACTACATCAGCAACTTGAAAGAATTTATTTACTTCTTTCACTGGTTTATTAACTATTAGAAATCAAAGCAAAAAGTATCAGAATCTGATTTATCATGAAGCCTCTAGATGACTAAAAAGCCTAAGATTATCATATGGTATAAGATCATTAAATAACTTACTTAGAAGTTTACCTTTGATCGTCTTTTCCTAGAAGTCCCAGTATTCTCAAGAGCTGAATTTGTAACCATGGTGCTGGTACACTGTGGTAATTGAAATCTACTGGGAGCTTTCCTCCAACTACTTGCTTTAAAATAGTTACAAAACTCCCAGTCAAGTCTTTATATCCAGATGAATTCTCCTATACCCAAAAAAAGCAACTTTCTGTTAATAATAAAGTCTCATCAAATATAAAACAGACCTAGTTGAAATGCCATCTGGAACCTAACTTAAACATGCACACTTAGAAGCTTATGTTCACACTTAATGAAAGAGTGCATATATAATTTCTTCCACAGTGAAATTCCTCTGGCTACCTGATTCAAAGTTAAATCATCCCCAGAAAAGCTCCACACTCTCTAATTTTTCCTACACATAGTTTAATCACATTTCAAAGTTCTTAAAATTATGTCTTTCAATAGAATCCTCTTATTAGCCAATACTAGCAATAAAAAGTAAAAAAAAAAAAAAAGCATACTGAAAAGGGGCAGTAATACCACTATTTTGTATGAAAAATAAGGCCTATCTGCAAGCTTTCAGCTCTGTACAAAAGACTTCACTCTCATAGAAGAGCAAAGCCAAGACTATTTAAATGTTCAAAGCCCCCAATAGCAGTGAGCTGTCAATCAAAAATTTAATTAGCCACATAGTAATAAACATACTTCTATTTCTGAATGAGAGTGCCTTGATTATCTGACTAATCTCTTGGACTGGTCAAATTAAATAAACACTATTTAAAATGAACATTAGATTCTTCATTGTAATTTTTATTAGATATCAAGGACAAATTTTGGAAGGGAAATACAGCTCTTTCAAATTTTGGTTAGAAGAAAGAGAAGATTTAATATCAAATACGTCTAGTACCAAGCATCTATTTACACCATACTATTTTGGAATATAATGCATAAAAGACAAGCTTTGGTTCCATAATTTTGAGTGAATTCAACAGCATATTTCATTTTGTTGTTGTAGGTGCTTGTGAAATCTCTCACAAAGATATGTGATTTTGAACACAAAACATTTCAGGCAATACAATGAGAAAGAATTAGTATAAACCCATCATCATCATTTACAAAAATTTCTTACCATACCATTCAACCCTCTTTCCTCACCTGATGACACAGTCAACACTGTAGTCTATACCTGACACAACCCACACTGGCTTCCTCATTTCTAAAAACTGTTATATAGCCCTTGAGGCTATATAAAAAAGAACCACTGCTTGAAAAACCATAAATCTGGAAATTCAAATCACTTTCCATAGCTATCATTTTTCCATATTTCTTCAGGAAAATGAAAAAAATTGTAGGCATTTTAAAAAGTCCAATTCTATAATGTGCCTACAACTCATGTTACCAACAACTTGTAAAACTCACTATTAAAAAGTCAATAATAGCCTAAAATGTTAATCAAGCATTTTGCTGAAACATCTGACTCCTCTTTTAATTATACAATTACATTTTTCTCAGTACTTACTGAAATTTCCAACTTACCTTAATCATCCTAAGGTATATGTGCAAAGAAGCAGCCATGACCCCAACATCTCTGTCACAAAGTGCCTTCCGAAACTTAATGTGGATATGTTGTACTTGATTAGGAGCAATGAGATAGAATTTGTATAATGCCAGAACAGCTTTTCTTCGTATAATCTCCCTATGGATAAAAAAATAAAATCTAAACAAGATAATCTGAATCATCAGGCTCTTAGTTGAAAATATTATGTGCCAGATGATTTCAAAATGTCAGCCATTACCTTAATCTAAAAAAAAATACAGAATGATACATTTATTATTAATGTCCTTATTCTAATATGACAAACTGTAAAAAGTAATTATCTCTAGAAGTTAAGACCTGAAAAGACTTTAACTGTCCATGTTAAAAAAGTTTCTAGTTATGGAACTTTTTAATAAGATGCATGTATTACTTTTGAAATCAGTTAAAATAAGAAAAATTTCTAAGTTCCCTGATTTCATTTTTAAAACCCTTATCTTTAGAAATTGAGAAAACAGCCAATGTTAAGTTTAAATCAGTAATAGGTAATTTCAGTCAGTAATATTAAAATCTCTTCATTAATATTAAATTTTTTTTTTTAAATCATGGGCAAGCCTACCCCAAATACTCTGGAGACCAAATTCAGGGCATCATGCATACTAGGCAAGCACTTTATCACCAAGTTACATCCCCAAAGCCCCTCTTTTCTTTCAATTTTTGTTATTTCAGACAGGTCTCCCTACATTGCTCATAGTCCTCCTGCCTTAGCCAAGTAGCTATAACTGGGATTATAGATGGACACTACCGCACTCAGCTCTTTATCTTATATTCTTGACATAGTTTCCAATGAAATATATTACTTGTTATTCTCATGTCTATTTCTACATATCTCATATTTGTAGACTACACCAGCAGTGATCACAGTAACAGCAAACATGTCAAAAATGAAGAACTTAAATTTCAAGTGTTCCTTAACATATATTTATATTACCTAAAATCATAGAAATTATTCAATGCAATCCCTGATGTTCCACTGAAGAATGTCTTCTTGTTTTTTTGGTACTGGGGATGGAACCCAGGGGCACACAACCACTGAGCCACATCCCCAGCCCTTTTTTATATTTTATTTAGAGACAGGGTCTTGCTGAGTTGCTTAGGGCATCATTAAATTGCTGAAGCTGGCTATGAACTCACGATCCTCCTGCCTCAGCCTCCTAAACTGCTGGGATTACAGGCATGCAAGATTCCTAACAAGTGGTCATCCAGCATCTGCTACATTCTACTTAATAAACAACTCATTATCTACCTAAGTAAACTATGTCACATAAATTCTTCTCACATTAAAAAGAAAAAAAGCAGATTAGCAACATATTTGCCATTAGTTTAATACTTTGGTAACTGCAAGCTATATACAAATATATTGCCAATCGATATTATCCAATATTAATTCTGGCAGAGATTAGGTAAACAAGGTGAGGGAAAAGAATTATAAATTCTGAAAAGGCTCAAGAATCCCTAAGGCTGGCCCTAAGTGGTAGTACTAACACAAGACATCAAGAGACTTGGATCTGGGATTGGTATATTGAAATACAGGAAGGGATTTAAAAGTTGAGCCCAAGCCTGTCTCACACCTCTGTGACATCTACCGGCTTACCCATAGTTCTATTCCATATTCTTTAACTCTTCAATGCTTAGCACAGAGTTAGGTATAGCCATAAACTGCAGAAATAGAGTTTTAAAAAGTCTAAACTTTAGCCAGGATCTGAAATTAAACTAGATGGGAAGCAACAAGGAAAATATCGACAAGTGGCCTTTTAATTCATAGAATGATTTCCAAAAAAATGGTCAATAAGTATGGTCACCACAAAAGAGTGGTGGCGAAAAGAAAAAAATTATACAAATAACAGCTGCTACAATCAAATCAACCTATATTTTACTTCCAACAACCAAATGCCCATAATCACCCTTTTTCTTCCTAAACAAACTTAATATATAAAACATAATTAAAAAGTCTGAAAACCTTCTGATGTTATTCTATAGTTATTAGTGAATAGTATCATTTTAGCTGGAAGATTAATAATCCAAGATTTCCTAAATAATATAAAATACAAGACATTTTTACTATCTTAGAACATTAAAAACATTGACTTAAAGCATAGGAAATAAACGTTGTATGAGTAACAAAAAATCTTCATCAAGAATATAATCATGTACAACCAGAAAAATGAAAAGCTGTGCTCCATTTGTGTAAAAAAAGTAATTAAATTTTTATAAAAATACTAAAAAAAAAAGAATGTATGTGTATCACCGGGCAAGGTAGTGCGTGCCTGTAATTCTAGCAACTTGGGAGGCTGAACCAGGAGGATAACAAGTTCAAAAGCCAGCCTTAGCAACTTAGCAAGGCCCTAAGCAACTTAGCTAGTAAGACCCTGTCTCAAAAATAAATAAATAAATAAAAAGGGCTGGGGATGTGGTTCAATGGTTAAGTGTCCCTGGGTTCAATTCCCAGTATCAAAAGAAAAGTGTATGTGTATACAGCTGGAGATTATCTCAGCAGTAGACAACTTGCCTAACATGCACTGGATACAATCCCTAGTATTACAAAAAAAAAAAAAAAAAAGAGAGAGAGAGAGAGTGGAAATCAAATACTGTAATCACAAAGAAAGAAGGAAAATGACTGCAAACTTTTCTCTAATTTTATTTTTATTTTATTTTTTTAGTAGCACTGGGAAATGAACCCAAGGGCACTTTAACACTGAGCTATACTCCCAGACTTTTTCATTTTGAGACAGGGTTTCATTAAGTTGCCAAGGGGCCTTGCAATGCTAAAGCTGGCCTCAAACTTGGAATGCTCCTGTTTCAGCCTCCCAAGTTTCTAGGATTATAGGCAAGGGTCACAGCACCCAGCCCTTTTTACTTACTTTAAAGATTTTGAAGTTAAGGAGCTTAGTCAAAACAAACTGTAAGTGTGGTGAAAAAGTGATTTTAAAAATGAGTTAAGTGTGGTGAAAAAGTGATTTAAAAAATGAGTTAAGTGTGGTGAAAAAGTGAGTAGAAACTGAAGGAATCTTGGACTGGGGCTGTGACTTAGTGATAAAGTACTTGCCCAGCAAGTGTGGGGCACTGAGTTCAATTCTCAGCACCGTATATAGATCCATATACAACTAAAAATATATATATAATTTTTTTTAAAAAAAATAGAGTGAAGGAATCTTATAAAAGCAGATTACCAAAATACTACAAGTAATGTTTATTTAGATATATCCTGCTGTAAATCAGAATTTGAACATTGTGATTTTGATATAAAAAGCATCTTTCCAATACACTAAAGTTTTAAATAAGGGAAAAAATACACTGAAGCTTTGTATTCATAGCACTGGAATTATTTTCAAATGTTTTCTATTATTTCACTCTATATTCAAAACAACTATATGAGAACTAAGGAACTTTGCCAACTCCATGTAGCCAAGGGAAAAATAAGACAACGTAGAATTGGGAAAAAAGCAAAGGACTCCTGATACCAAGGCTTACTGTCTCTCAATTTAACTTCAGAAAGCTACAGAACATTCTTTTAAACACACATAAAAACAATGATAATTCTATTGGAGACTTCTGTGTTACACCTGCCAAAGAATATTCTCTACTCTATTAGCACTCTGTTTACGTTATAATAACATTTTTAGAGTATAAAATATAAGCTAAAAGGTGTAGACGTCTATGCCCAAAGAATTTACTTACTTGGAATGCTGAAGTTTATCTTCTATTAATGGAAGAACAGCTGGAATCATTTCTCGAGGGAAAATCTGGCTGACGATAGTAAGTGCCATACATACTTCTACCAGGTTAGTGCTCTGTAAGTCCTAGCATAATTATTAAGCAAAGAAAATATTCAATATAAATTCTGAAACTAGGGATGCTAACTCAACACTGAAATGGTCCTATATACTTAGTAATTTTCTCCTGATTTATAATTAATTTGTACATTCAGACTTATGTAATTTTATAGGCATAACCCTATTTATTTCTTATGCCTTTATTGTCAGTAGATAAAGACAGCAAAAAAGCAGCTGATACAAAAGGAAACTATTTCTGTTCTGATACTGGTCAAACTAGTCACCTTTATTATAGATTGAAAACTTTTCCAAACCAGTAACAGAACATTTTATGAATTTTTCTCATTTAATAATTAGTACAAAGTTAAAAGGAAATAATTCTATGCAATTACTACAATTGCAAAATTCTAAAATTTATACAATAAAATAAATATGTTCCTCTATATTTACTTATGCACAAGGTATATAAATCATTCTAACAGAATTTCAAAATATATTTTTTAAAGAAAAAATTTAAGCTACTCCAACTTTAGTATATGACTTAAAATTCAGAAAATTCCTCACATAAACACACTCTCACATATCAAAATGGACACAAAAGGAAAAAGCTCAACAATTCAATTATATTTCATTATTAATTTTAATTAGAAGCTTAGAACAAAATTTTGTGAGGGTAGATTAAACTGTGTTTTTATCTGTACAATTCAGTTACCCAATATATTCTATTGCCATTTAAAATGACTTTTTGGATTTTAAAGACAGTTATATCTATATCCTATAAAGACACTTGTATCTATATCCCTTTAGATTGAACCTAAAGAGAAAAAATAGTAGCATGGAAAGTGCTTCTGTCTAAGAGTCTAGCAATCTGGATTATAATTCCAAAAGTGCATTTCAAAATGAAATAATAATACAAACAACAAAAGCAGATGCAACAGCAGCAGCTAGTACTTCAGTGTTTCCCTTAATCCTTACAACATTATAAGTTCTATTATTTATCCCCACTTTACAAATGCAGAAACTAATCTAAATTATCTTTCTAAGCCCTCCTATTTTCCAAAATTATTTAACTCAATATAATTGAGGAGAAACATCAGGTGCCAGCAGGAATAACTGAACACTTCATATTAACCAATATACAATACAGTACCTTTACTACTGTATTCACAAGGAGAAGCAACAGTTCATGGTTTTCATGTAGAAATAAAGAAACAGCCAAATAACCTACATAAAAATTAAAAGGAAAGGTCTAATTACTACCTATAAAAAAAAATTTTTTCCCAAGAAAATTTTCCCCAAGAAATTAAACAAAACAATACTAAATTCCAAGTTTTAGTCAAATAATCAGTTAGAGGTAAACATAAAAACAAACTGAAAATATGAGGTTAAAACACTTCAGTAACAAAGATTTCAGGTATTCTTCATCCTGAAGTTTTTCAAAATACATATTTCACCAGGCATGTGACACATGCCTATAATCCCAGCAGCTCAGGATGCTGAGGCAGGAGGATGGCAAGTACAAAGCCAGCCTCAGCAACTTACCTATTAACTTAGCAAGACCTCTCAAAATTAAAAATAAATAAATAGAGATGGGGATATGGTTCAATGGTAAAGTGCCCCTAGGTTCAATCCCTGGTACCAAAAAAAAAAAAAAATTACATATTTCACAGATGAGTGCCAACTTAAAGTATTTAAATAACATTAAAATATGCCTTCTATGTCTCTTATGAAATTTCTATACTATCAATCAAAACATTCTCTATCTTATAGCCACATATATAATTATTCAAAAACAAATAATTATTGCAATTATTAGTGAGTTACTGGTTATTTGCATTACTGAATAAGCCACCTAATATCAGCCCACATAATGTAAATCATATATTCAGTCACACACACAATACCTTATTAAAAACACACTGTTGAATGAATAATAACTGCAAAGGAAAGAAACACTGTCTACCACATTAGATGTATTCATTGGCTGAAATAAGCATTTCTATTTTAAAACATTAAAAAGTATATTTTAGGATTGAGGAAATACATTAATAGCATAACAAATGTCGTATACCTGGAATCCACATAATTCATGCCATTTTCTGTGTCACCTTTCATGTTGACAATAACATTATTAGACAGTTAACTCTGGGACAAGTACTTTAAAAAAAACCTTATTTAATTCTTGAATCAACACTATAAAGGGTAGGTATTATTCTTATGCCAATATAACAATGAGACCAAAAAAGAGGTAATTTCCTAAGGCCTACAGCTATTATATGGTGTAGACATGATTCAAACCCAAAAAGTCAGAGTCAAACAATGTGTACTGCCTGTCTATGTGTTACCATTGTTTTTTATTCAACTCTTTCAAACATGTCATTAGAGAATCTAATATTATTCCATCATTACCTAGGATCAATACTGTCTCTGTTGTGCAACAGGAGAAACTGTTCTCACAGCCAAGAAGCAGCATCATGACTGATAGTAACATCTTCACTGACAGAGAAGCAGAGTTATTTCTCTCACAATCATAAGAGAAAGACAAAAAAAAAAAAAACTGTACCAGATTAGTACTGACTTAATAGATACTAAAACAGATTAGGAAAACCCCAGAGAGCACTTAAAACAGAGATTAATTCTTATGAGATGCTGAGAACTCACTTGTTCACAAGTCACCCATATGAAGGCCCAAAACTCCAAAGATCATCTCAAGAAAACCTTGATTCTATCCATTACAAAGAATATCCTAACTTTTTAAACAATCAAAGAACAGGGGTATACCTCAGTGGTAGAGCGCTTGCTTTCCACGTGTGAGGCACTGGGTTCGATCCTCAGCACCACATAAAAATAAATAAATTAATATTTTGTGCCATCTACAACTAAAAAAAAAAAAAATTAATTAAAAAAAAAACAGGGGAAAATACTATATATCTCATAAAATGAAAAAAATTTTAAAGCAAACAATAATAGCTATGATTATGAAGTAAATTTGATATGACTAAGATTGAGTTATAAAATAATAATATTAATATAAGACTTTGACTCAGAAATTTAGGTTCACATTCTGGCTCCACCATTTTGTTCTATGACCTTGAACAAATGACTTGACCTTTCCAAGCCTTATGTTTCTCATTTAAAATGAAGATAAATACTATCTCAAAAGATAAGGCACTTAATAGATGTCTGACTTAATAGATACTAAAATTTATTTATTCAACACTATTCACTTGAATCACAGGAAGGCATTCTCCACCAGAGAAAACACCAAAGCTGGCCTTAGAAATCCCAGGATGATGAGGTAAAGCAGCATACACCTGTAATCCCCAGGGACTCAGGAGGCTAAGACAGGAGGATGAACAAACAGCTCAAGGCCAGCCTGGGCAACTTAGTGAGACCCTGTCTCAAAATATAACTTAAAAATTGAATCAGTTCAATCCCAGGAGAATAGATGAGGCAACAGTACTAGAGTGAAGATTTACAGGTTTAAATCTTATCTTTAAAAAAAAATATTTTCATTCAATAGTATACACTAAGAGTATCTGATGCCTATGGATATATGCTCTCTCATTGGCAAGAAAATATTTTCCTAAAGATCATGAATCTCAGCAAAAATGACTCTGAGATCTCATTTAAGATGAGCTTTCATAATTACGAAATAATACATGTATAATATTATCTACTGCAACATCATTTATAAGTAAAAGTCAAAAACAATCCATGTGTCCAAGAGGGACCAAATTGAAAAAAATATGGAATGTCCACCCAATGAAAATTATGCAACTATATAAAAGTATGACATCAAAATAAAGTATAAATGCATCAATTAAAAAAACATTTAAACAGATGATAAACCATCAAAATTTTTAAAAACTGTAGTACAGAATAACCCATATAATATGCTCTTTTGTATAAGAGACAGTGTATGTAACATGCTGCCTTTTGTAACAGTTGAGTGTCTGGTTTTTTTTTTTTGTTTTTTGTTTTTTTTTTCTAAAAGAAACAATGGAGGGGCTGGGATTGTGGCTCAGTGGTAGAGCGATCTCCTAGCATGGGCGGGACCCGGGTTCAATCCTCAGCACCACATAAAAATAAACGCATTGTGTTGTGCGCATCTACACCTAAAAAGTAAATATTAAAAAAAAGAAACAATAGAAAGATTAATCAGATATTAATGAAAATAGTGGCGAGGATGCGGGGGAAAAAGGTACACTCATACACTGCTGGTGGGACTGCAAATTGGTGCAGCCAATTTGGAAAGCAGTATGGAGATTCCTTGAAAAGCTGGGAATGGAACCACCATTTGACTCAGCTATTCCTCTTCTCGGACAATATCCAAAGGACCTAAAAACAGCATACTACAGGGACACAGCCACATCAATGTTTATAGCACTGATTCACAATAGCTAAACTGTGGAGCCAACCTAGACGTCCTTCAGTGGATGAATGGATAAAAAAAAAAAAATGTGGCATTTATACACAATGGAATATTACTCAGCAATAAAAAAGAATAAGATCATGGCATTTTCAGGGAAATGGATGGCATTAGAGAAGATAACGCTAAGTGAAGTTAGTCAATCCCCAAAAAACAAATGCCGAATGTCTTCTCTGATATAAGGGGGGGTGACTCAAAATGGGGTTGGGAGGGAGGGCAAGGGAGGAAGATTACCTCTAGATAGGGAATATGGGTGGGAGGGAAAAGAAAGGAGAAGGGGAATAGCATGGATGGTGGAAGGAGACCCTCATCATTATACAAAATACACGTATGAAGATGTGAATTTGGTGTCAACATACCTTATATACAATCAGAGATATGATAAATTCTGGTATAAAGGTGTATTAAGAATTGTAATGCAAAAAGAAGAAGAAGAAGAAGAAGAAGACAGCTCATGTATAATGGCATAATTTGGAGTGAACATACTTTATATACAGAGCTAACGAAAAATGGTGTTGTGAATGTATAATTATGATTGTAATGCATTCCACTATTGTCATGTATGTAAGAAATAAAAAATAATAAAATAAAAAAAGAAAAATGAAATTATGCCATTTATATAGGAAAATGGGTGGAACCAGAAACCATCACATTAAGCAAAATAAATCAAATTTAGAAGGTCAAGGGTCATATGTTTTCTCTCCCATGCAGAAGCTAGAGAGGGAAAAGGAAAATAAAGGTGGGTGCATATTTCATGAAAACCAAAGGAAGAAATCAGTAGAGGAAAGAGACCAAGGGTTGGAAGTAGGGAGAAAGGGGGAAGCGCTGGGGATGGATATTGGCCAAATTACATTGTTATATTGTGTGCAAGTATGAATATGTAACAACAAATTCCATTATTATGTACAACTATAATTCACTAATAAAAATGTGGGGAAAAAAAGAAGAAAATAGTCACCTTTGAGAGTACGGTACAAACTGGGTAGTGGGGCTAGAGATGAAAGTGAGTATTATTTGATTATACACTTTTATAAAGTCTTAATTATGCAATGCTGTATAATGCTCTATATAGTTTAAGAACAGACATGAAAGTAGAGGAAGAGAATAGAGAGGGAGGAAGAAGGGGAAGAAAAGGGAAAGTATTAGGGCATGAAATCAACCAAACTGTGCTACGTGCATGCATTAACATAGAAAGTGAATCCCATGTTTATGTACAATTATAATTCACCAATTTAAAATAAATGAACAGAAAAAAAATTAGAGGCTAGGGGTACAGCTCAGTGATAGAGAATGCACAAGACCCAGCAACAAAAAAGAAAAAATTTTAAATAAAATTTGAAAATGAAATCTAAAAAGCAGAATGTAACAATAGCTGCACAAAATAATTATACCAACTATCCAACATTTATTGATTATTTTCAAAATTTCCTGCTGTGCTAATATGGAAGTCAGCCAAATAACAAAGAAGAGCAAGTATAAAGCCCATCTTCGTGCCAAAGGAAGCCAAAGGAAATTGGCAGGACCAAATCTAATTCTAACTAAACTCTAGCCATGCAATATTTAAACAGGTTCTAAGTGATTTTGTTACAGAATGCTCATATGAAATCTAATAAGCACATTCTCCTCTAAGTCTCAGAAACCAAGGAAATTGAGGTTTTCATAATTGTTCTTATGCCTGACTACATGAGTACAATGTGTGGCATCCCTTCATGAAGGCAATTATGACATCATAATGTAACTACTAATTTCTATGTTTGTCTCTATCCCCCACTCTACCACTGCAAGGGATTCTCAAAATGGAAAAAAATACATATGTCTGACTGCAGCACCTAACATACAATGGACACCTATCATATCTATTCTATGAATACTGAATAAATTTTATAAGTAGACAACCTCTAAGAAGACTTTCTACTCATAACATCTTTGCCACTCAAGCCAAAAGTTCACAATTAAGGTTTTATTTCTTTGGATCTGTTTTCCAGAGTCCTTAACAAAAAAATAGCTACCTCTAAGAAGGATATCATATTTTTTTTAAAGTGCTGTGAAATAACATGCAAAGGGAATAAAGGAGAATTAAAACTTGAAGAGTTTAAAAAAAAAATTATGAGGGCAGAGAAGCAAAAAAGAAAATCAGAAGAAGAGGAGGCAAAGAAATACCAGACTTCTGCCTGTAATCTCCATCACTGTCTCTTCTTATAGCTAAATTTTGGACATTTCCAAATGTATTCACATCTAACATGGTTCTCCTTAAAATGAAAAAAAATGAAGTTGGTTTTCATTTTCCCCAAATGCTCAACAATTGTTGAAAGTTCCTTTTTTATCTTTTCCTTCTTAGGGAAAAAAATAAAAAAAAAAAAAAAAACACTCCAAATACAAGAGTGACATCACTTAAAAAGACTTGAGACATATAAAACTCTTATTGAGGTGAATTTTCAAAGTGTAGGGTGATCCTGAATGTGACAAGAAGGGTTCTGCAAGTCTATGTGAAATAAAACACTAGTAGAATAAAATTCCACTTTCATATGTTTAAAAAAATCAAAATTTTAAGAAAAGTAAATTACTAATAAAGACTACTTTAATAACAAACAAAGTCCTGCCTTTAGAAAGCTTCTAATTAGTTCAGAAGCTAAGACATTCATATATGAAAAGACAATACCATAAGGTAACAGACTATAGGAGCCACCTGGGTGATCTTAGAACTGTTAAAACTTGATTTGGAATATGAAAAGGGAGAAACAGGATGTCAGAGGACATTCTAGTTGAAGAAAAGAACACAACAAATGTATAAGATAAAAAAGTATTGGGAGTGAAATGGGGTTCAACAAATGGAACATTTTGTGCATACAATCTCAGAATCTGTAAACCCAGACATCTATCACTCCCTCACCATCATCCACAGGTGAATATAACTTATGAAGAAGGCATGGGCACAGTGGTGCATGCCTATAATCCCAGGGACTCAGGAGGCTCAAGAAGGAGGATCCCAAGTTCAAGGCCAGTCTCAGTAACTTAGTGAGACCCTGTCTCAAAAATAAAAAGGGCTCCGAAGTCCAAACAACGCATCCCTATGCTAACATGTCCCTTCATCCATAATCTTACTTGGCATCTAAAATGCAGCATGTCAATTTTAATATACTTTGTTAAAACATTCAAAAATTACAAATTGTTAATAATTTCTAATGAAAACATTTTTCATATTTAAAAATCAAATTGCAGGTCCCTCGATAAAATTTCATCCATAATCTTACTTGGAATCTAAAATGCAGCATGTCAATTTTAATATACTTTGTTAAAACATTCAAAAATTACAAACTGTTAATAATTTCTAATGAAAACATTTTTCATATTTAAAAATCAAATTACAGGGCTGAGTTTGTAGCTCAGCTGATATAAAATTGAGCCTTTATGAAATGGAAGACTGAAGTCATTGAGAGAATTTTTCCTAAAAGCCCTACAGGATGACAACAGGGACAAAACTTTTTAAAAGATACCTTTAATCCTCATAGCTAACATTTGTGAAAGTGAGAACAGGATATTTAAAATTATTCTAGTCAATTTAAGTTTTTGATTTTATAAAGAAACGTTTCTAACCATTAAACTGATAAGATTAGACAAAGTTCTTCAAATAAGCTTTTTTAAGGTATAATTTACCTTAAAAAAATCCACCCATTTAAGAAAATTCACCGATTTTAAGTTATAGCTCAATGAGATTTGACAAATATATATAATTAGTTATCTAATCACCAAAATGCTGTAACTATTCAAAATTCTATGAATTAGGAAAACCAATTTTCATTAATAGGCTTTGAATTTCTGAAATATTATCTTTTCAGGCTTTGGAAATTATAATGCAATATTCTAAAAAGATACTACATACCTGCCATCATTCATTTTATATAGTAGATGAAACTTTAAGGACATCATAAAAGTAGAAAAGTCTTAAACGCATACATACCTACTCTTTTTTCTAAGAGGTTTCCTTGTTGAGCCAACTTGATTGCATGTATATAGCCAAAAGAAGCATCATATCCAAGCATTTCACAATATATAAGTCTCACCATACATTCCTTCATCATTTTCTGAAATGCAAAATATCCAGTCACTATATAACCAAATAGAATGTTCTAAGTTTGTGTGTGTGTGTTTTCTACTCATTTAAAAGGAAAATCCTTCTATTCTGGCACTGAAAACATAATTATATATCAAAAATTGATCACCTAATATCAAATTTGAACCCCATCTTAATTACCAATAGTATCAATTTTAGCAAAATCATTTCAAATATTTTGTTGGTAGTGATTCTACAAAATAAGCCAACTATCACTATTTCTATGTGCTAATAGTGTAAACTTTAGTTATAATGTGATACATGCGGTCCCTCGATAAAATTTCATCTATAATTTTACTTGGCATCTAAAATGCAGCATGTCAATTTTAATATACTTTGTTAAAACATTCAAAAATTACAAATTGTTAATAATTTCTAATGAAAACATTTTTCATATTTAAAAATCAAATTGCAGGGCTGGGTTTGCAGCTCAGTGGTAGAGCACTTGTCTTGCGTGCCTGAGGCACTGGGTTCAATCCTCAACTCCACATAAAAATAAATAAATAAAATAAAGATATTTTAAAAAAAATCAAATTGCACCCCAACATTTTTCAGAATTATTATGCTACAAATAATTTATAATAGTCTACTTTATAGGTATTTTTAAATATACAATTATTATGAACTGAGAAGCATTTAATACTCATTCCAATATTTAATTTTTAACGGGGTCTTTCAATTATTTACAATATAAACAAAATTTTTAAGAGATTTACACATTTGTTTTATTAGTATGACAATATTTACAGTAAATGATTAGAGCTAATAAAAACAAAATAAAATAAATATATATAGCAAAAATTAATCAGAAATAAAATACAAAATGTTTCCATTTGTTTTAATGTCTAAAAATTAATAGAGTTAGCATATTATAGGATTACTAAGTTACAAAATGCTTAGGAAACAGTAAAATATTTTAAAGCAAGGATGGTAATGTTTAATATTCCATATGTAGGTTGCATTTGTATATAAAGAGCTCAATGAGAAACCATAAAAAAATCTTAGGGAAATGAGATTTAATATAGGTCACTTGTACTTAAAGCAGAAAAAGATAATTAACATATTAATTAAGACTACTAAATACTAAGAGAAACTTAAATGATACTAGAAGTCCTTCTTCAAAGACTTCTATATCAATTAGGAATGAAAGCATTAACATAAGCCATTAAATTTTAACTCTGAATTTGTAACATTACCTCAGTTTGTTTGTTTGTTAGTTACTGGAGACTGAACCCAGAGGATCTTTATCACTGAGCTACATCCCCATCCCCAGTCCTTTTATTTATATTTTTTTATTTTAAGAAGGCCTCAAACTTGCAATTCTCCTGCCTCAGCTTCCAGAGTCTCTGGGATTATAGGTAAGCTTTACCACAAATGGTTTACCTCAGTTTTCCTAAAGTCACAATGATCTTTATTTAAGCAAAATTACTGCCTACATTACTATTTTCTTGTATTTATAGAAGAAAGTACATTTGCCAATGCAGGAATTCTCTTTACAATTTCTCTAACAGTCATCCTACTTCTACATGATCACCTTAGAAACAGACTACTCTGAGGTATGCCCAGAGCAGGATGGCCATCATTATACTATCATCCTTCCAAATTCTGACTCCTGAACTTCTACCTATTAATCTTAAGTTCTACCCAACACTAGGTTTATATCTTTTAGCAACAAAAACTGTATACAGTAATACCAATTATAGAAAATGAAAATCTAATGTGCTCATGCAAAATGATTATCTTGATATTTTTATTGAGGGGAGAGAAAACATCCATCCCCACAGTGACTTAAACATAAAAGGCAATCATTAAATATTTGCTGAATAAATGTTGTTTGGGAAAAAAAAAATCTCATTAAAAAGAAACAAGGGCTGGCTGGATATTCAGCTCAGTGGCAAAACACTTATCTAGCATTTGAGAGGCACCACAAAATTAAATAAATTTTTTAAAACCTGGCATTACACATAACATACAAACACTGAATTATCATACCATATCCCATAAAGTTATAAAATCATTATATGTCAATTAAAAATAGTAATAATAATGATAACAACAAAAGCCTATATTTTAATCTAACTATGTGGAAATAGCCTCACAGTGGCCTTCATATTCAGAAGCCCCCAATACAGTTGCTAAAGGAATGCTGTTTGAAAAATCAAATTATATAGAACCAAGTTTAAAAACAACTAGAAGTTGATTTAACTAATATGCCATATACTAGGTTTCATAGCAAGAAAACAATTGTTCTACTTGGTCAGCCAACCTATACTCCAAAAGGTATAGTATCAAAATTAAAGATCTACAATGTAAGAGCAGAAGATACAGCTCAATGTAGAGCATGAGCTTCAGCATGAATGAAGCCCTGGGTTCAAATTCCCAGTACCACCAAAAAAAAAAAAAAAAAAAAAAAAAAATTAAAAAATTTATATAGATACAAATATATTGTTAAATGATAATATCTTAGCCTTTTCCAAGTATACAATATGATAAGTACTGGAGTCCTATGAAGATTGTTGTACTTGCGCAATTACCATTACGTTTGTCCCGACTTGACATAGGCAGGCAAGTCTTCTTCCAATGCAGCCAGTCAATGAAAAAACCTAAGTTAGTCTGACTTGCTACGATATATAACTGATTTTGATATAATTAAATTAAATTTTAGAAATATCAGTCAGATATCAAGATTGAATCCATCCATAGTGGATCAGATTTCAAATTCAAATGTTTGACACCGACTATAAAAACTTACGAGTGTGGTAGTAGGAGCAGAAACAGTTGCTTTCAGACTATTCAGTTCCTGCTGGATTAATTTCTCTTCTTCCTAAAACAGTGAAAATAATTAAATGCTTAAATAACTGTCTTTTCAAACTGTAAACATTATCAAGGGAAAAATAAAACATAATAATTAAAAGGAAACATGATCTTAAAAGTGAGTTATAAATATTATGTGCTTAAGATCTACCTAAAGATACTCATTTCTCCAACCCTCAAAATCATCCCTCCAGAGAACAAATGTTCCAGGCTAACCTACCATTTTTCATCTTTTCACTCAGTTACTGTCCCTTTAAAAACCTATTTGGCAGAAAATGCTAAAAAAAAATAAAATAAAAGTGGAGAGAAAGCAGAAAAAAATTCTCCATGTTCTGGCCAGCATAAGAGTCTCACATCTTCCCCTTAAAGAAGACTTTTTGCATAGGGTAAGAAGGCAGATTCCCCACATTATTTCTCTCACTTTTTATATCAAAAACACCGGTGTGGTCACTTTCAATGTTTGCATTGTATATCTCCTAAAGCAGTTAAAAATTGGCCCCATTTTAAGCTAATATATTGTTATCTTTAAATTACACATGAAATTAGCAGGTGTTCATTAGACAGTTAACCCAGAACTACCAGTGAAGTACTGCCACAAAGCTATCTACAGTTTCAGACTACCTTTTAAACTTTCAGAGCACTTTGCTTTTTTTTTTTTCTTCTTCTTCTTCTTCTTTCCTGGCACTTATCTTACATTGTAGTCATCTCTTCCTAAACCCAAAATGAATGATCAAGTCCTTGGGAGAGGGAATGTATTTCACTATTGTCCTCAGTGTGTAACACATAACCTTGCTTCGTAAAAGTTGTTGAACAAATCCTGACAAAACTCGTGTTTTTAAGATATCAACTCCTTTGAGGTTTTGAATCAGAATCTTACACAATCCATGTAACTACCAAAAGTCTGTGGGGATTTTTTTTTTTCATTTATTTTGGTGCTGGAGATTGAACCCACAGCTTTGAGCATGTAAGGCAAGCATTCTGCCAACTGTGCTATACCCCAGCCCCAAAGGAATTTTAACAACTTATTATAACTGCTCATTCTCAAAGCTCATCTGAAGCACAGACTTACTCAGCAAATATTTTAGTTTGGAAGAATGAGGAGGTGGTATTATTGTTGGTATTCTTTGGTCCAACCCACTGATTTAGCCTAAGAACCTCAAGCTCCCCCATCCCCAGAGATATCAACAGCAGGCTCAGATGGCACAGAGTGGCCGGTTCAGGTTCATGAGGTCTACCAGGAGAAGGGACTGGGGAGCAGAGCAAACTGAGCAGGGAACCAAACTTTATAAGCGCCCGACACTTCCAAAGCACTGGGTATTTTCACATTTTGACATTTCATCTAGTCCTCACAACAACTTATAACATTTGTATTGGCACTCTTCCACTTAAACACTGAGAAAACATACAAAGGGTCGGAGGTTAAACAAATTTGCCCCCAGATCGGAATGAGTCAGATTCAGGGCCAGCTGTAGAAACCCGGCCTCCCTGCCGTCAGTCCCGGCAGGAAAGTGAACCTTCCAGACAGACTGCAGCACGGGTCCACACAGGCAGTCCCCTGATCCCCGCGGGAGCGCGGGCGCTGACCCTCGCCGCGGGCCTCCCCCGCGCCCCGGCCTCCCGGCCCGCTGGGCACCTACGTGCTTGGAAGTGAGAGCGGTAATGCCACGGACTAGGCCGCCCAGCCTCGAGGAGAAGGTCGCCTTGGGGGCCGCGGGCCCGCCAGCCGGCTGGTTCTGCAGAAACAGTCCCGGCAGCGCCGTCAGCGTCTTCTCCACAATGTCGCTCATCTCCGCCGCCAACCGCGCTCGGGTCACCGCCCGGCTTCATGCCCTGCCTCCCCCAGCGGCTCGGCCTCCGTAGGCACTTCCTGTATTTTGAAGAAGAAATCTTTATTCGCGTCCCGCGTGTTCAAACAAAGTGTCGTTCTCGGGTAAGGCCGCCGGAGGGCGCAAGAGTCTACGGGAACAGAGTCTCCCCGAGCTGGTGCTCCGAGGCTGGCCGCCAGTGGAAGCTGACAGGTGTCCGAAGCTTGCGGTTTTGATGAAAGCGCCAGAGCCTACGCAATTGTGAGTCCTCCTGAGGAAGCCTCTCGGGGCCTGTCAGTCTTCTTAGCCCCTTTCTCCTTAGCTATCTCCGCCAGCCTCTTTAGGGACGCCCGAGGTCAGCCACCCCTCAGGGTCTGCAGACTGCCGGCACCCCGCCCCTCCCACTGCGGCATCCCAAGAAGCGTCTCCACGTGGGTCCTGGCGTTGTGCGCGGCGGGACACACCCAAGGTGTTGAATGACAGCCCTGGGGACTGCCAGGGTGGTTCCCCGCCCTCCCCTATCCTGTATCCTGGGTCGTCTGGAGGCTGACGCGGGGACGTGGGCGGTGTGACTCTGCAGAGTCCTACTCTGTCCGCCGCAGTCTAAAGGTCACTCTTCTGAGCCGACTGCTTACTTGGCAGGCCAGGAGAGGTCTCCCTGTGCCACCTCTCACAACTCTGCTTTCTTTTCCATTTTAGAACTGATCACAGTTGCCCCTACATAATATTTACCTCTCTCTACAGAGAATATTCTAGTCATAGCTACTACCCCAGCTCCTAACTAGAGCAGAATCTAAGACAATGATTCTCAAAATATGGTCTGGTGAATTCTGAGGGGCCCTGAGACCCTTCCAGGAAATCCCCCAAGTAAAAATGATATTTATAATAGTACTTAAAAATTATTTGCAGTTTTCATTCTAGTTTTCTGGAACTCTCAAGAGGCTAGATGACACATGAGCGCTTTGTTAGCTGCTGAAATGTGTGTGCTTCCAAGGTACTAGGTTAAAGGTATAAATATGAGCGTTTGCAGAGGTTAACTGTCCTCAGTATCTTAGTGTATTTTTTCAGGCTTTCTTTTGAACTAGCTCTCATCTCTGAAACCTCCTTATAGTCCAATATGTGGGTTTTTCTGAAATCCTGAAGTTGTTCTTGTACCTGAGCAGGAATTCGAGAAAAAAAGGTCTGCTTGTTGACTTGTTTTGCAAGAGTCATTTTTTGTTTTGTTGTTTTGTTTTTTAAATTTCTTGGAAATTTTTCTAAATATTTCAACTTTTCTGAAACTCAATTTCTTTTAGAATTTAATATTTTATCCCAAAATAAATTTTTTTTATAATTTTTAAATTTAGGATTTTCATTGGCTAAAAAAAGGGGGAAATTAGAAGATTTGCTTTCTAACTTTTTCACATTTAAAAATGAATTTTGTAAATGATGCTAACATCAATATCAGAGAATTATCCGACTCAAGAGAAATCTGTGCAAAACTGCAAGAAAGGGAAGTATCACAAAGGTTTCTTTCCCTTGGCTTAGGAGATGTTTATCATTTACCTTATTGTATCTTTTTTTTTTATTTTTTTTTATTTTTTTTTTTTTAGTTTTCGGCAGACACAACATCTTAATTTGTATGTGGTGCTGAGGATCGAACCCGGGCCGCACACATGCCAGGCGAGCACGCTACCACTTGAGCCACATCCCCAGCCCCTACCTTATTGTATCTTATTTAATAGACTATTTCCAAATACTGTTATGGAGCCAGTTTAGTGGAGGCATTATTTTCAGATCAGTCAGAGTTTAAAGAACAGGGAGAATTTAGTATTTTAAACATAGACATGACAAACTTTATAAAAACCAATGCTTTGTTGTAAACACTTCTGAAAGTAGAATGAAAACCTCACTAATGCATCTTACTGCAGGTTAAATTATTGTGTTCATTGCATTGGCTGAAGAAGGGCATGCAATAGCTGAAAGATCTAAAAAGCCTTGAACCTTACTGGATGAATGTCTGCTATGTCAAAAATCAGTAAAAGAAATCATGGTGGTGCCACTTTCCAAAGATGCAGCAACTCACCAAAAGTTACTATAAACCACAGTCATCAAGACAGTGCAGTACTGGAGTAAATATTGTACTCAAATATTCACAGTAGCGTTATTCACAATAGACAAAAGCTGAAAACAACCCAAATATCAAAAAACTGATGAATGAATAGAGAAAATATGGTATATCCATACAATGGACTTGTTATTCAACCATCAAAAGAAGTAAAGCACTGATAACATGCTACAAATGTGACTACCTTGAAAATATTATACTATGTGAAAGAAGCCAGTCACAATAGACTAAATGTTGTGTTAGTCCATTTATATGAAATGACCAGCAAAGGTCCATCAGTAGGCAGAAAGCATATTGATAGTTGCCTAAGACTGAAAGTGAAAGTGAGAACTGACTGCCGATAGGGAGCTTTCTGGAGTGTGGAAATGTTCTAACACTGCACTGTGACAACGATTGCACAACACTATAAATTAATTGAAAAACCATTGGCCATACACTTACAATAGTGAAGTTTTATGATATGTACAATGTACTTCAATAAAACCATTAAAAAAAGGCTTTGTGAATTTTGAAATGCTGATTCATATTGATTTACAATTTGCTATAGGATCTTTCTGGGACTTATTGACCAGAAATGAATGCAGTCATAGAATTCATTTAGAAAATAATAATAATAATACATTGAGGAAGGTCTGTAAATGATGCCCAGAGAAAAGCCTTAGGAATAGTGAGCAGATGGTCAGGAAGCTTTCCAAGTGGAGAGGCAAGGCCTACTTTATCACTACTGGGTGGTGTTCTAGGTACTACAATGATGGGGATTTGGCAACTTTAAAGAATACAGCCCCCCTCCTATGCCCAAGGGGGCGCCAGAGGAGCAAGACTGGGTCATGACTGAAGACATTCCCAGCTCCATTCCCAGCTGGAGCACTATCTGAGTTCGTTCAAATTCTAATCCAGGTTCTTTAGAAACCAGAACTTTCCATTTCCTTGTATTTTTCTTCTTAAAAGGAGGAGGGAATTTCTTGAAGGTGGCTTACTTTTAAGTCTGAAAATGCATCATGGAGAGCCAAGAGAAGCTCTCCAGGGGAGAGGCAACAGTTATAGCCAAAAGAAACGGCCCAAGAAGAGCTTTTTCAGGATGACACATGCTATTTTCTTCTCTCCTTCCATGACTCAGATTCACATTTCACACAGACCTCTGCCTGTGTTTTCTTTCCCCTGCCTTGACCTCAAGCCAACACAGACTCTGTCCTCAGTATTTTCCCACTCCTGCTCCCCAGCCTGAATCAGCCTGGTAAAAACATTAGCTGGAAGAAATCTGAATTTACTGGGTAAATTCCTGTACAACATCTATTGAGCCAAAATTGTGCACAGCCCAGCTTATGTCTAATGTAGTTCAAGTCACAATCCATGAAACAAAATTCTGTTTATTACTATGTATTTAGACCATCTTGTTGAGCTACTTGTAAAGAGATTTGCCCTATAATATTTTCTTTTCCCCAAGGAGCTTAAAAAATAAGTAGAGGCAAAAACAGAGCCCCCTCCATGCTTGGAGAGTATTTTCCCACATGCACTCATTTTAAAAATCTAGTTCCCAGAAAATCTTTGTAAAAACTTTTCCCAATAGTCTACTAGATTGAGGACAAGGAAAAGAGATACATTCCAGAAAGGGTAAGCTGGGACCTTCCCAGAAGGATGGGAACATAGCATCTAAAAGGGTCCTGATCCAGAGTATTGTAGGAAGTGATCAAGAAATCAGAAATGAATTAAATTTAAAACAAAAGTAACATCCCCAAAAGGTGATAGTACTACTGAAGCCCAACACTACACAAATGAGAATCAAGTATTTAAAAGCTACAGTTCCTACATCATTTGACAGAATTAATTGCATCTGTAGTTTTTGTACACTGCTGAGAGCAAAATGTTACACACTGCCAAGAGCATCCCTATTGAAGGAAGCCTTTTCACTTTCTCAGATCCATAAAATGGATACTTCTAATTCACAAGATTGTTGATGAGAACATTTAGTTTCTGTTCTTTCCTCGCTCACTTCTCCAGGAAGGAGTGATTTATCTTGTCACCAAACAAGTTTCGGTTCTGCCTGCCACAAAACAGCCAATATTTGAGAGATGAGAGTGGGAAGGAAATCAGGTTTTATTACAATAAACTAGTTAACAGGAAAATAGCCAGACTGTCATCCTCATGGCCATTTCAGAAAATTCAGGTAAGTAAAGAGGGTTTTGAGAGGAGGTTGAATGGGAGAGTGAGGTGATGGACAGGAAGGCTGTGCGCTGATTTACACATCTTCAGGGCATGCTTTTCTTTCTTTTAGTGGAAGGGTCCTGTGCTTACAAAGGACATTAGCTCCTGGGCCAGTCCTATAATCCTTTAGATAAGACATTATTTTCATGCAAGTTAAACATTATTCTTCTTTTAATTAGAGAACAGGATTAGCAATTCCTTGGTTACATGTTGATGTTATTTGAGGACTACCAGGTGTTCTAGTTTCTATAAAACTAAAAAAACGGGACTGAGGTTGTGGCTCAGTGGTTAGAGCACACACCTAGCACGGGCAGGGTGCTGGGTTCGATCCTCAGCACCACATAAAAATAAAATAAAGGTATCGTGTCCAACTATAACTAAAACAAAATTATTTTTAAAAAAAAAGAGAAAAAGTTTATATTAGGAAGTCAGGGGACCAGTTTTTTCCCTCTTTTTCCCCTTTTCCTGGAATAGTTGCCTCTAATGGGTAATATCTCAGCCATTTAAAGGGGCTTTTAAAAGTTACAATATTGAGCAAAGGGGAAAACAAAGAATAACTTTACAAGGGGCAGTTTTGCAGAGTAAAGCTAATCTCAAATAGGGCAACAGAAAACAAAGTGGTGTAATCATTATTGATGTTACAGTCTTACTGGGCCACCAGGGAAGGAACTAAGCACACTTGCCCCTTTTTTCATCTCTTTCCTGGGACTAGCCTGTCATCTAAGGAAGTGCATTCCATACCCCCACACCAGCCTCCAGTG